ATAGCCTTATTTTAATGGAGTATCAAAATCACTTGATTGTGCATTGTGCTAAGTGTGTTCATACGATGTTCGTTCTACTGATTTCATGTTTCCATGAAGAAAGACACAAAGTCATGAAATATTGAAACAGGAAATGTGAACCGAGGTAAAGATATAAACATTAAAGATAAATCAACGAATATACTTTGGTCTTTGGGAAATTTTTCCAAAGATGGTAAAAGGTATCTTTTTTATTATTTAACTTCTGCAAATCATAATTCAAAAACTTGTTTAAAAATCGGATTTTAAAAAAAAATAATGATTGTCTGATAAAATATAAAATATCAAGGGTCATTCGTAAAGAGTATCATTAAGACTATAGGACTCTTTTACGGTACGGTAAGACTAGAAAAAGGAACAATGGAGGTATTTTAATGAATGTACAAAGTGTTTAGGGATCAAATTTTCTCTTAAATTTGAAAAAAATTATACTTGATTTAACTTGAATAAATAGATATTTTACTATTAATTAGCTGATATTCCATCCGATTGTTTGTTACTGGATCAACACAATTCAGCACACCATCCAAATATCGAAAAGCTTCATCACAAAAAGGGAAGTCTTTTTATTAGATTGTGATATCTTCCGAAATTGAATTTAATTTGATCCTTTTAACAATCAACCTGCATATCTTTAAACTTTGAATCAATTATCATCCTTATGAATAATATATAAGCTACTTTTATGCAAAGTTCCATTAGCGATTGTTATCAATTATTAATTAACATGTCAATTATACGTTTGTTATTGTGTTCAACTGTGAGTAGCAATTACATTTTGCATATACTTTCTCATATTACATTCAGAATAAAATGAATTTAACATTTTAATTCTGCTACCATTCCCTTTAAAGCTTTATTCAGTACTGCTTTGAATTCAATACTTCTATATTCATGGCAACTCAAATATCTCTTTCCATTTGTTAGACTTTGAATTCTATTGTTTTACGAGTGTGCTTAAATTATTTTGAGTTTAAAAAATGAAAACAATAAAACCAAGAGGTCCTATGGCCATTTTCAAAGAATTATTTATTCTAAGTCTTGATAGTGAGAGAATAAATAACATCCATTCCAAATGTTAAGAGTTTTTATCTCTCGTCAAATTAGACAAGAAAGCAAGAAAACTGGAAAAATGAAGTATCCAGAAACAGGAAATGATTCCTAAAATGAAACGGGTTTCAATCATGGAATGTAAAAGAATACGTACATGACACATTTCAGTCAATATCTAATTAAAGAAAGTAGCCATATGCATATTAAGATTTTATTATACGTAAACACTTGGAGTTGTACTACTTGTTTATTACAGATTGCTCAAATTTATTCTCATGGTAAATGCATTCAGTTGTTGCACATTTATTACTGAAATATTGTAAATAAGTGCCAAACTTTCTGTTGAGAAAAATACCCTGAAGTGCAAATGAGAAAAAAATTATCTGTGTACCACTCCTTCGCCAAAATTGTGCATGCCCCCATCCCCTCATCTAAATGAGAAGATACACTTCGGGTATAAAGTGAATTATCAAAATAAGTGCAGAATCAGTGTTGATAATTTGCAGATTTGCGTATTAATTTTGAAGTTGTAGAGTCCCTGGAGACACTGAGCGGGAGACAATGACGTACATAATCATGAGAGATAAATCTTAAAGTCATCATTTCAGAGAAAAAAAAACCATCCTGCAGTTATTATCTAACCATAAAACTTTGAAATAAATGGATATTAAATGATGTTTTGCTATTTGTTGTTCTTAAATATCTAAAGGCAAATGGCAACTCGGATTCAAGTAATTTATGAAATGGGATTTTCTCTAATCGAAATTTTGCTGAAGACCTGATTCATTATCTAACTTAGGGCATTCCTTCCTTAGTGAAATATCTTTCTAGTATTCTGCAGTTTCTTTTATTCATTTTGGGTCGCTTGCGTCTGCTCTAAGAGTCGTGGGGTAACGTCACCGGTTCGAATCCCACTGCAGGACTTGGAGCATGAGACCGTATAAACCGAGGTCCGGTGTCACAGTAGGTGCTAGCACGAAAAAGATCCCTCACTGCTCAAAGGCCGTAAGTGCCGACTACAAGTCTAAATTTGCAGCCCTCCACCGGCTAGTGGTGGCGCCCAAATATGAGTGAAAAATTCTCGAAGGGACGTTAAATAAATAAACCATTTTCGCGATTTCTCGAGGATACATGTAGACAGTTCTTTGTGCATGCAATTCAAGAAAAATGGAACATCAAAGTTGTTTTTTTTTTAAATTTTTCTTATAGATATGAAGTTTGGATTTATGCATATTTTTTCATTGGATGGATTTGTAAACAGCTCATCTTATAATATTAATTCTGCTGTTGCACTATCTTCTTATCAAACTATCAAATTTAGGATTGCCTTAAAGGGGTATATTTTGCACTTAATTTGGGGGGGGGGGGACGGATCTCTTTACAAATAGGTCTCCTCTTTTTTGGTAGTTGAGCAAAAGATATGTTTCTCTCTCTGTGTGTGTGTGTGTGTGTGTGTGTGTGAATAAGCATGTCACGACTTACTGAATATCCAAACTTTCAATGTAATAAATAATAGCAAGACTCAGGACAAGGTACACAAGTGTCTGAAAGTAATCAAGAGATTTCAGGTGACAAAAAACAGAAATTCATAGGAAAAAGGTGCGACAACAATAGAAAAGGATCATACTATGATCAGACCCAGACACTGTATATTAATACAACAAAAATGTCAAAAAAGTAAGAAACTCTGATCTGAATAGTTTTATTAATTAAATTTACAAGAAAAACACTATCACAGATAGCTCATTCTAATGTGAACAACGTTTGTATTACATTTAACAAAATTCCAAGAATTTGATAAAGAACAAAAAATCAAATCAAGGATAAAATTGGAACAGAGTTAATTTTTCAAATTTTACATGGCCAAATAAGACCCTTTGTAAACCTTGGTTTTAATGATAAAGAAAGGCTTATTAATGTCAAATAAAATTACAGATAATTTCAAAAGATAATTTGTTAAAAGCTAGAACCCTGGGGACTAAAAATAATTTCACCATTTGAGACATTCTTCTGTGATACTAAATCAAGTCCTCATTTCTTACAAGATAAATGTTGCTTTATAAAAGATTCTTAAGACTAGATAAATGCTTAGACTTAATAAACATAAAAAAGATTCTCTTTCTACATAATATATTTACTAGCAAGTAGAGTAAAATGTAAATTAAGGATAAGCACTACTTTTCCTATAGCATCATGTACATGTATTTACAGTGTTGCCAAAAAAATATATTACATTTACCAGATAATTTTTTATTGTAACCATGTTTTTATGATGTAAAAAATATTTCTAACTTTTTTTCATTAATGACATAAAAAATATGTCAATTTTCCTTTTTGTATGATATACACATACATTTAAACATAATTGTAGATTTAATTTCTTGGGTTACACTTTTTAGACAATTAATCTCACTGAACATTTATCTATCTGATGAAATAAACTGTAAACTGTAAAATTACATCATACTTTAAAACAAAACAGATATGTTATCTTCTTATTTCTTAAGAAACAGACAGCACTCCATTTTCATTATAAAGCATAATCTGCCACAAATAACCTCATATATCTTAATAACTGATTACAAAAATATATCACCAGGTTAATTTAAAATGTTTCATTTCTGAGATAATTTTTTAATAATAAAAAAAAAAGCTATGTAATAGTATACTTTGTATACTGTTTAAAAAATAAAAGAATACATAGCTTACAAAAAAAAAAAATTAGAGATTCATGACTGAGATTCAAGCAAAGAGAGTATAAAATTGATAAGAAAAAATATCTCAAGATAAAGACAAGTTAATAATTGTTATAAAAAAAATTAGAGTATCTAGAGAAAATTTTTTTCATTCAGTATCAGATCAACAAATTAAAATTTAAAGCTTACAAAGTTCTATAAAATTTCAAAACATAGACTAATATTTTAACATACATGTGATATCATTTTAAATTTTCTTTTAATTTTCTGGAAGGATTAAATTCGTCTTTGTTTTGGTTTTTAACAATTTCAAGTTTATTATGATTGTAAAGACTCATTCATATATTTTTATGCAGAAAAAAAATATTTGAAACTTGATAAATACCATGTATTAAAAAATAATATTACTGATTCATTTACAACACACATGTATCATACATTGTACATATATATATGCTCACAGAATTTCAAGCCAATCAATGACTTTATAAGAAATTATTATCAAGTAATACTTTGGTATGAAACAAAATAATGTTACTCTTTCAAAGGAAAAATTCTGAGTCATATGTATCAACCAATTAAGGATATAACACTGTTTGTTTTTCTTAAGGAGGGACTCTTCTCATAAGAACACTTATTTCTTATATTTAAAAATCAAGGAAATTTTCACAGAATTAAGAAGACAATATCACTAAGTGATGGTATCATTTAGATTAAATTTGACTGTTTTATATTAGAGGCTAGGTCAGGTCAAGGTCAGTACCTTTTCCCTGGACATTAAGAATAAAAAATTACTGTTGCCAATCATGCGATACCTACCTCTATTTCAATAAATTCAATGTTTTCTTTTTGCATAAAGAGATATTACCATATAGGGTCTATAAGATGATATTACCAAATTGACATAAATAACTTAACTAAAATGGATATTGGCTAATCCGAATTTTCTCTATTTTTCTTAAAATTTCAAGACATTTTAGTTATTTTTACATGCTTCCTATATTTAAATTTTTCTTATTTTCACATATGGTAAAGTTGTCACATAAAGATACAAAATGATATAAAAACAAAAAGTTTTGACGGTTAACTAAGAGAGGAAAAACACTTTTTATGGATTTTTGGCTCAAATCTGAACTTAGATTGGAAGCTTTTAAAAGCTAACATAACTGTAGTTTGGAAAATCATATTTATTTGACATATTTTAAAACTTTCGTCCCTTATTATTAATTTAACTTACATTTAAAAATTTTCTCCAAGTCTTTGATAGTGTAAAAATTATAACTAAATTCATTGTTTTATAATTATTTTGAGAGGCAGAAAAGAAGATATTTTAATTCATACACCGCCATTCTGCCAAAAATATAGTCCCTGCTAGTTTTCAAACTCAGTTTACCGTTTCTATTTAAAGTTGTACAATTGTGATGAGGAAAGAAAAATATGATCTTTTAAATATCTTACATCTAAATACATAAAACATACAAGCATATTCACTTTGAACATTTCATCTAGTCAGAAACCAGACAAGAATCCCTCCTTAATTAAAAACTTGGTACTAACTTTGAAACTATGTCACACTTTTGAAGTGAATATATACTAAAAAAATCATTCTCTGCATACAAAAAGAAATCAACAAACAAAAAAACAAACATCTATCTTCCTACAAACAGAACGTTTATGGGTAACAAAATACTAATTGATCAGCTATATAGAGTGGATCACATCCACACAACAAACAGATCACCTTCTGGGAAAAATGTACCCAACTTTTGGATTGTCCTGTACTGCAACCATGAGCAACCTCTACAGAATTAATACACACACCTGTTTTGATCCGTACCTAATATTTTAGGAAGTTTGGATCCACACCTGATACTTTAGGAAGTTTTTATCTCCTCCACGGTGTGTATGCCCTCGCTGCGGAGGCGGGAGAGAATGGGTTGGTAGACATCCATTGACAATGGAGCCACTACACCTCTTCTTTGAATCTCTCCTAAAAAATATTTATAAATTCACGTTATCACTCTTCATGAAATATTCATGTAAAAATTTTAATTAAAATAATCTTTTCCATGAATAATATGTGTGTATGAACATGAATGAAGAACTTTTAAATTTACAAATGTGAAATAAGTAGAATATAAATAATTTATTTACCATCCAGAATCATTTTCGTTGCTATGGCAGTGGGTAGTCCGACAGTCTTTGCCATGGCTGAGTACCCTTTCTCCTCTCCATAACAGACAAAGTTAATGACTCGATTCTCCTGTGAATTATCTGGCCATGTTATTCCAATGTTGTGGTGCATAATGATCATATCCTTCTCACCAGGGGCTGAAAAATAAATGATACATTTTTAAGTCTATTGAAAAAAATCTATTGAAAAAATTATCTTATAAAGCAATATTTTTTCTTATACACACCTGCATGTATTTTGGATTTATAAAACCCTAACACTGGTAATCAATCCCAAATGTTTATGTATTTCATGACCATCTAAAAGAATTTGATGATTACATTTCATCTATAAATATATTTTCCTCATATTAACCAATAAAATATCGCAAAGTTGATGAAAAAAACATAAAAATCTGTCAACAAACACTTTACAAATACTGAATTCATATTTTTATAATGAAATTAAAAATTTACACAATTCACTAACTTACCAAAGGCCAGTTTCTTGGAGAGATAGTTAGAGAGAGTGTCCAGTGGATTTCCTTTCTTGTCCATTGGAATATCGTCCAGTAGACCCAAACTATAGTAACATTGTATATAATGCATTGTACACACAAAATAGGACATGTCATTATGTAAGACCTTATAATATTGAGGTCATATGCTATATTCATCTTCTGGCATCTTTCAAATCAAATTAAATAGCTTCATATTTAAAATCAGAAAATTATCGTAATGATTATAAAACTTTGAATCAGAAAAACTATCATTATAATGCAGAATAGTTTAAAGATAATGGTAATACTTTGTATAAATTTTTGTTTTATTACCAATAATTTTTCGACAAATTATATGACACCACTAACATCCTAACTTATCAATTGCCTCAAAAATATATGTACTGCAAGTTTCCATTTCATCATTCAAATATCACTATGATCATCACTTACTCTACAATGGCTTGAAGTCTTTTCTCTGACCTTCCCACTCTCTCATGTACCAGATCCTTAAGACTGTCCTCAAACAAATCAGGACTCTTGTCAAACAGCTCACACATGTAGGCTTTCTGTACAACATAAACACAATATTTGATGCTGGGGGACTTTTCAACTATATTTTTTGGCCATTTTAGGAAACCCATCGTTGATTATGCTTTGTTCCTCTACCATGATGGAGAAAGGAATGGAGAATTATCAACCACAGGTTTTGATGATGTTTTTCGGCAACAAAATGAAAGATAGGTCTATAGTTTACCTTAAGAAACAATTATTGTACAGTAAATGGCAAAAAAATCTTTCAGTGTGACTAAAATAAAGAAAACAGCTCTAAATATGTAGACCTTCACTATTAATCTAAAATTACAACAAAATGAAAGATAGGTCTATAGTTTACCTTAAGAAACAGTTATTGTACAGTAAATGGCAAAAAAATCTTTCAGTGTGACTAAAATAAAGAAAACAGCTCTAAATATGTAGACCTTCACTATTAATCTAAAATTACACAGCTGTCTGCATCTCTATTTTCCCTACATCATACAATGCTTTTGATGACCAGAAGTACCTATCTAAATACAGTTACCTTTTATACCAATAACCCAGTTGCTTTATCATGTCAGCAGTATGTTTAAATAAGTTTATATTTATCATGCATAGAGCAGTTTCTGACAAATTGAAGAACTTTAACAGGATAGTATCTTTCACAGCTTTTCACAATCATAGTTCTTATTTAAAACCATTTTTTTCATACTATATGAAGCATGTAGGAAAAAAAAATCCATATTTTAGATGCCAAAGTTATCATGACGGTTTTGCTCGTAACAAAACCCTATGGATGAATGAGATGCCACTGTATTTATACTTACCCAGGTTTTTGCTGGTCCATTGGGATGAAGGTTAGATACAGGCTCTGGATTCAAGAGTCCCATCTGCATTATACCCTTCATAATGTTACTGAAACCCTGTAAAGCAAAATTAATGTACAATTAAGAGAACAAATCATACAGTCAAACCTCATTATTTTGAACTTGATGGGACCAATAACAAGAGTCCCATCTGCATTATACCCTTCATAATGTTACTGAAACCCTGTAAAGCAAAATTAATGTACAATTAAGAGAACAAACCATACACAGTCAAACCTCATTATCTTCAACTTGATGGGACCAATAAAAAACTTTGAGATATCCATGGACTCAAGATATAGAGGTTAACATAAAGAAGGTGGCTGAAACTTCAAACACAATTCCACATATCCATAGTATTTCAGATTGCAAAGTTCGAGACATTGTACTTACAAATGTATGTATGATTACTTCTATGAAGTACTTTTACCTTGTAGCGGATGGTCCCTCTAAGAATAGTTTTGGCTGACTGAATATTATACTCATTTAAGTACTGAGTCGAGTCTCTGTTTGGGAAGCCCTCGATGTTAAACCCTGGCATAAAGTCCAAGTCTTGTACGGCATCCAGCAATCCACCATTACCAGGAACTTCTATGATCTACAGCGAAAAAATACATATATCAAATGTGAATGGGATAATTCGTCTTCCTATTTCTTTATAGAAACAACAAAAAATATAAAGAAAATATTTGCAGCTTCTCTCTTTTATTAAACTTGCCTACATGCAAATAAAAAATTGCCAATAAGGAGGGTGTGAGTACCCTTCAACTTATTTTATTGGTATTACAGTGTATATGATCAATTTGACTGTACACGAGGAAAGTACTGTAGATCACTAAATTTTTGCGACACCTTTTTTTCGCGAGATAGTCATTGACTCTTTATTAGCAAGACAAAATTTTCACGAATTGTGGTTATTGCTCTATATAATCTTAAGGAATAATAATATATGTGAGAATAAAATTTTTGCGAGCACACTGTCTTGCTTAATTATGTGAAAATAAAGTTCTAGCAAATAAATAGTGGTTTACAGTATTAGTTACTTACACAATTGTCTTTGAGATACTTAGCACCACTCAAACAGTTCATAAGAACACCTCTTGGGAACCAGCTACAAGCATGAGAAAATACTTAAGAAATTACTAGTATTCTAAAACAGCATGTTGCTCGCTGTCAACAAGAGCAACAAGAAATGTTTTAATGTGGATGGTGTGTTAACTTTTCAGCTGAACCCATTTAAACCTTGCAAGTTTGGGATGATCTACAAAATGTCAACAAGCAAATCAAGAGATGCCACTTAGAAAATCAAATTGTGGAGGTGAATTTAAAATTATCTATACACAACAGTATTATTTTTAATTCATTCACTAAATGCATAAGGTCATAGCCAATTTTAAATGGAAAACAATCTTGCATTTACAGTGTATATTCTATGACTCTATTTACCTGAACTTGTATCGGATTGGTGAATTGGAATGTTCTGGGGCGGGCAGTCCTCCACACCAAGACACAAACGAGGATATCTAAAAATAGAAAAACTAAATTGTGCTTTTATGGATTGGAATTAAAGTGCAAACTTGACTAATTCTCTGTTATACATCACTTATTATATCATAAATCAGGAAAATCCAGTGCAATTTCATCTCTGTGATACATTTTTATTAAGACTTGGAATTTCTAAATCTCTAGACATGAATATCTCAAATTCTAATTTTAATGATATATGGTCAAACTTGTCTAATCCAGACGCCACTGGTTATAAAGAAAATGACCAGAATAGACAACATTCTGGTGTAGCCAACATAAATTTTAACAATTAAATTTACTAAAATGACTTAACATCATATTAGGCAAGATTTCAGAATACACAACAAATGAATTATCCAACTTTCACTGTACTACCTTTCCTCCAGCATGCTTAACATCATCAAAACACTCCACTGCCAGCATGTGATCAATTCCTGGATCCACCCCCACCTCATTCATAATGGTAATCCCAGCCTCCTTGGCTGCAGAATCCAGCTCCCTCATGGCGGGGGAGATATAACTGGCTGTAACCATGCTCTTCTTATGTTTAATACAGAGCTTGGCAATGTCTGGATGTAGAACATAGGGTAGGAGACTGAAAAAATAGGAAATGTGATTGACAGAAAAATTCTCATATCTTTTGGATCTATTTACAGGCTTAGTGTAAAATACTCAATGCTACACAAGTTGTCTACACATCTTGCACTATATTCAGCAAAATAATACTCTTAAGCTTGTAATATGTTACATCTCATACATTTCACCAATTTAGAGAACAGACAGCAATGCAAGATTGAAAATCTGCTTCAGACAGACACATTTACTTTTAATATAGCACATGATCCTTCAAATTTCAATTAAATACAATGTACATGTATTATAAAAAATCAGCAAATAAAGCAAAATCAGTTCACTGATTTTCATAATTTTGAAAGAAAACTGACACTGCATAAGTCCACAGAATGTAGTATTTTACTCTACCTGACCACGATATCATGTTGAGGGATCAGTTTCTCAAGTTCATCAATGTTCCTCTGTACATCTATAAGCATCTTGTGAACATCACAGTTCTCTATGTTGTCCAATTCTGCCTGAAGCTGAGATACTATACCAAAAAAAAAAAAAAAAAAAAAAATCACTTGTAACTGATCATACTTCACCAATCATATAAGTATTGAGACACTGGAATTATACACACTCTTGAAGATTTGTTTCCATAATGATGTTATAGTCTATTATTTTTTAATTTCAGTTGGAACTTTTATATACTTATAGTTACGGTTACATCCATATATGTTATCCATCCCAAGGATAATTAATGTTCAAGATTTTTAAATTCAGTACATAAATCTGATCAAAGGCAGTATATATCTTCTGCTAAACTGTTAGTATACTAATGTACAAGAATTTTCCTTGAACAGTTGAAACTCATAAAAGTATCTAGATCTGTGCAAATATCTTTATATATATGTATATACTTCAGTGAAATCCAATGAATACACACGCTAAATAAATTTCTAATATTTTCTTGTCTTTTATTGCTATTGATTCAACAGCAAAGTAACAGCAGGTGCATAGAAGCTTAAAATTTGCACAATTTTAAAGAGAGACAACTTTGTGTAAATATGATAGAGTTTAACAAAGGTCAAATGTCAAAAAATAAATTACATGGATAGTTATATTTATGCTATATAAATACAGTGTATATCTGTGCTGCATACATAATAGTTACATAAAAATATTAGCATCTAATAAATCATTAAAGAGAAGGCACTCGGTAAAATGGTTTAATTAAACTCAAAAGAAATTACTTGGCAAAACTTGATACAACTGGCATTTTGAAAATGCTTTAGTCAAGCTATCTCAGGCTTAGTTTAAAAAAACACCTTTTTCTCTGTCCTTCTCCACTTAAAATGAAAAAAATTTTATGCAAATTAAACTTATTTTCAACTAAATTGAATTTTAAGGAAGTGAGATAGCTTCATGTATGAATACTATACATGAATATAATATATACTAGCTAGTATCCACACACACATATGAACATGTACATCATACATGTAATTTTCAGAGACTAAATATATACATGTATATATATAATTAGAGAAACATTCTCTGTTCACAGTTCATTTTAGAACCATCAAATAACGATTAAAATTTAATATATTGTTACTACAAGTTCCTTCATTAAAATATCATTTTTTTTCACACAACAATCTTGATAAAATCATTCAGCAGTTTTTTGAGGTTTTTAGCTAAATTAGCTAAATATCAATCTTAATAAATCAGGTGCCCTTTAATATACAGACCAGTGTTTGTCAATACACACATAACAGATATACATTTATTTTATCTACATGTACTACTGTGTAACATGACCTTAAACCTACCCACAGTGACATCCGTGTTCTTGCTCTTGGCCAGGTATTCTACCACTGGAGGAGACACGTACCCTGCCCCCAGAATCAGCACACTCTTATTCTCTGGGTGACCCTGAGTCTTCTGAGAAGCACTGTCAAGGGAGGACCAATCAATTATGTACAATAAGCCAAGAATCAACACCAGAAAATTCAAAGTCTGTTCATTTTGTTTATGTATCAAATGTAGAATTTAAAAGTTTTAATGTTTTCAAAGGCTATCAATTCCTGTATTCTACAGAAAAGAAACAGTACTGTATAAAGGAAAAGTTTTACTGTAAATCACTTTTTATTCACAAGAACTTTATTTTTCACATAATTAAACAAGACTGTCTGCTTGCGATTTTATTCTCATGTATATTCTCGTGTATATTTTTTCATGAAGATTATACACTGCAATGACCAGAATTTGTGAAAATTTTACCTCGCTTATAAATACCAAATAGATATCTCGCAAAAATAAGGTGTCACAAAAGTTTGGTGATATACTGTATACATGTACACTTGCAAGAAAAAGTGATATCCTTACTTACAGAGCTGAACTAGAAATCTGACTAGTCAGCAAGGGCCCCGCCAAGGGTTAGAAATATGAGGGTGCAGATTAGGGGATGAGAATTTTACTTGATTCCAAAAAACTTCAAAATATATAAAGAATAAGCAACAGCAACTGCTAAATATCCAACAATCTGTAAATAGTATCTATTTACATAAGGCAGTAAAAAACATCATATCTATAATAACTCAATTAAATGTATATTTAAAAATGAATGAAGCATGTGTTTTCTAAAATGCCAGCCTTCAGTGAATGCAAATATCACCCAGGCTTAACCTTAACTTCAAAACAAATATCAGTTGCAGACAAAGGTGTTAATTAATCTTAAAGTGACAGAAAGATAACCCTCTAAAATATTCTGCAAACCAGCAAGATAATCAAACCCACGGGATTAATTATACTGCTCTCTCAACCTTTTCTTCTAAGTTTACAATAAGAACTTTTTCAGCAATGATAGAATGAGGTTATTATCTGAATACCTGTTAAAATAATTAGTATTCTTGAATTTACATAAGGCAGAAAAAAAGAAAAAAAAAAGAAAAAAGAAAATAATAATAAAAACGATATCTTTATCTATATCTTGTTTGTAGAATTCAATAAAATCATAATTCATTGTGTATTTTACCAAAATAAAGTATGAACATTATTTAAATCCACATTTCAGAGAATGTAAACATCATTCAGAATTGACCTTAACTTCAAAACAAACTTCATTTGCAGACAGAGGTGTTAATTAATCTCAATGTGGCCAATAAAGATAAATGCTTTGGATTTTCTTCAAGAGGAAAGTTAATTAATCCCAAGAGACTCATTGCAGCCATTCATAGTTTACAATAGGAACATTCTCAGCAGTTATCTCTCTTTGCCCATTCATTCTTATATAAAGTTAAGGAATATACCCCACCACCTCAGCTCCAAACCGGATGACATAGAGAACCAAACTTAGCATCAAAATATGTCTTACTGCCTATTCAACCAACATACCAAATTTGAACTTAATTGGTCAATCCTAAAAAAAGTTATTAGAAAAAAACAGAAAATTTATGGACGGAAGAATGACAGACGGACAGACAGACAGACAGAGTGATTACTATAGGGCACCCGCAAATCCTTGCGGGGCCCTAATAATTGTTAGTTTTACTGAACCTTTAACAAATTTCATCTGTTTTACCTACAGAACTAACCACATTTGTATTTCAAAAATTATTTTGTTTTTTATTCAATGATAAGTCATTCAGGTTAAAATACACAACTCACTTGTATTTCACACATAAAACTACTCAAAAGTAAAAATCATTTATTAAAGGCTGTCACTCCTTTTTAAGGTGTCTCTAAAACATGTATAAGGGGAAATACATGTAAATAAAGTTTAAATTTAGGCCCTGTGAACAAATACATGTACTACACAAAAAGAAAAGGTTGTTGAGATATATAAATGTGTAATTGCTACCTTAGGCTCTGTCTTCTAAGTTCATCAATATACTCATGATTTGGGGTCAATCTCCTGTTGGATGCAATCACTGCCTACAGAACAAAACACAAAAGTGTTATGTTTTTAAATTAACTTCCATTGGTATAATTATGAAATGACAGACTTTGACATTAAGCCTTACATGTTTGACCACAGCTGGAACATCATATTCATCCCAGGGTAGTGTAGCAGGATACTTCAGCTACAGAAAAAATACAAAAAAATATTTTTAAAAGATGTGACACTTTTTTCTTTACATGTATGTCAAATATGCACATCCTCAAACACTGACATTAAAAAAATAAGTTACATATACATGAATATGTTTGAATCATGGGTAGATCAGTAATTTACAAACTATTATTTAATCAATCCCCTTCTTCTGCACTTATCATGCTTATAGGCTGTATGAACATGTACCTTACATTCATTTTCATATCAATTTTAATACAGATATACTGGACAAAAAAAGTTAGGGATCATGATTTTGAATTGTTTTCCCAAAACAATTATAATATATTTTTTACATTATAGTTCAACCATACTTTCTTTAACGTGTTATTGACAAGAAAATGCTACCTGTAGGGTCATGCAATTCATGCCCAATTCATGCTTTACTGAATGCCGACACAGGGTGAAAAACAAAGTGATTCAGGGTATACAGAAATTTAACGAAATTTTTTATTTGAATACGTGTTTAAAGTTGTGGATATTTTTTGATGACCTTCAAGCCATGAGACGTCACTTAACCGGCTTTGAGGCAGCCCAAGCTATAGGTATGCTTCAATCTGGCAATACTCAAAGAACTGTTGCTGCACACTTTAATGTGTCCCAAAGTGTCATTTCACGATTACGGAATCGATTCCAACATACTGGTACCGTTGTCGAGAGACCACGTTCAGGTCGTCCAAGGTCAACCATGGCTCGTCAGGACCGTTATCTGGTCAATATGGCAAAACGGCAGAGGTTCCAGAGTGCTGTTAGGCTAAATACAGACTTTCAAATAGCAATAAGAGTGCGAGTAACACCACAGACAGTTCGAAACAGACTCCATGCGGCTAATATCCGAGCATTCCGACCAGCAGTCTGGCCCAAACTAACCCCAAGATACAGAACAGCCAGACTCCAATGGGCACGAAACCACGTCAATTGGCAACTGCGTCACTGGACCCCTGTTCTTTTTACAGATGAGTCGTACTTTTGTGTAGACTTTCATGACGGCCGTAGACGAGTTTGGCGTACGACCGGTGAACGTTATGCAGATTGCTGTGTTGCTGAACATGATCGTTTCGGGGATGGTTCTGTGATGGTTTGGGGTGGTATCAGTATAACTGGAAAGACTGACTTGCACGTTATCGCAGGAAATCTTACAGGGATAAGATACCGAGATGAGATACTGCACCCTATTTTCAGGTTGTATGCAGGTGCTATCGGTGATGATTTTATTTTAATGGACGATAATGCTAGACCTTACAGGGCTAACGTTGTAACAGACTACCTGGAAAATGAAACCACTGAGCGAATGGACTGGCTAAGTCTTTCGCCTGATTTGAATCCCATAGAACATGCTTGGGGCAAGCTACAGCAAGCCATTTCAGCGCGCCCAGTACTCCCTAGGAACCTTGAGAAGCTTTCTGCAGCACTCGTCGAGGAATGGGCTAGATTGCCGCAAATCTTCTTCCGGAGACTTATCTGCAGTATGCAGAGGCATTGTCGCGCAGTTATTCAAGCACGGGGTGGTCATACAGCATATTGAACACATCAAATCACTGCACAAATGGTTACGTCTGAATTTTCCATCCTTTACCAAGGCTGTTTTTCATTCTGTTTTGGGGGTTGTGTGAAAATTAATCCCAATGCACGTTAACGCTTCATTGATTTTTGATAAACACATTAAAAATTGTTTGTTTACTTGTTAAAGATTTATATTATATAATGGAATATATTGTTATTTGTTGTAAATTAAATAATTTATAAATCATGATCCTTAACTTATTTTGTCCAGTGTATGTACATGTACAGTCTTATTAAGTATTCTTCAATATACAGTAAAACATCCTAACATCGAACACACATTATATAATGAATTTACCCTTAGAGAAAAGCGAACATACCTCATATAATGAATTTAGGCTTATAGCAAGTGATTTTTATTCCCCTTAGTTTATCAATGAAAATATACTATGAACTTATTGGGTATAACAAATTACGGTTATAATGAATCAAAATTGCTTTTCCCTGGCACTTTGCTACACATGTTTTACTTAATTATCTGTATTTTGAAATCACCATATCTGGAATGTAGGGCAATAGCAGGTTTCCAAAGAAATCTGTGGCCTCCTTTGGAATCTGTGCTGGCATGTTGTCTATAGAACAGATCAAAGCACCATTTCCCTGGAAACTGTAAAATTGAACCATACAGTTCGGAAAGTTTGATTCCAATAAAACCAGCTCCAAGCTAATTTTGCTAGCTATCAATGCTGGTGACTGATTTCTGCTTATCATATAAGCTAGTTCATCACTACAGATTTATCACAGGTACAATGTATCTGATAAGCTTATAATATATAGACTGAGAGTTAGTATTTGCTTGAGGATGTCTCCTACTGAAAACTATTTGAAGAACTCACATAGATATTGCATACATATTGTACACCTAAAAGAATGTATTTTATACACTATTTTTTTTAAAAACAGTACACTGTCTCCAAAGGAGATAACATAAATATTTTTACATTCAACCAAAATTTCATATTTCCTGTACTAAAACACCACTCCAAACAAATGTTTCACAGGATCAGGAAATGATCCTATCTAAACATCTGAGACTGGTGCTCTTTCATCTTCCTTTGTAAAAAGCCTGTATCTTGGGTTCTTTCTGAGAAAAAAAATATAAATCTGTTTCTAACTCTTACTAACCTCTCTGTCTCCATGTTCTGCTCAGCATCATACAAACAGAAAGGTTTATCAATGGTGGTGCACTCCTTCACAAACTCGATGGAGCCGCCAGGATCGGCAGAGATATCACAGATGGCCAGGAGGCGGTGGGGCAGTTGTGGACAGCCAGGACTGGATGGTAGCCATGGAGCTGGTGTCGGCTTCAGTAAAGTCTTGGCATCAGGAATGGTAATCAGTCGGGGGGCATTTGGGGCCCAGTAAATACCATTAATGATGACAGAGGCATAGGGTGCTATCTGAATAAACAAAGATGTCAAAATTTTGAGAAGAAAAGTTTTATGGTTTAGAAAACTCAGAACAAATGCCTTTACTTTACCTTAATCAAACAAATCAAGTCATGGCAAATCTTAAAGAAAAAAGGGGAGAAACACTGACCACTGGTGACTTCCAAATAGCTCACCTGAAAATTTGTTCAGGTGAGCTAAACACAGTGTTCCCCTTCATCATTGATCTCTTTGGCATTAAGATGTGCACATACCTTATGACTGAATGTAGAGGCATATCTGTAAGGATGTTGTTCAAACTCTTCAGCATCAAACTTGCCTCCCTCCTTCCTGATGTAATGGTCATCTCTCCTAGCCACACACACATACAGCTTGTTGGTTGCTGAAAATAGACAGCCATGATAGATGCATTGTATTGTAAAGTTAAATAATAACTGAATAACCAGTCTCCAGTCCCTTAAATTAAGATCTCCAATTTAAATTTGTTTTGGTGGCACTATTTATATATTGTGTACATGTACTTAAACAAGAACTTTAAAAAATTATTGTCAGTCATAGTCAATGACGGATAAACAATGTAAGTGAAACACAGTGTATGACAATTTTACTGACAATATTTTGAGACGATGAACCAATTACATGGACCATACCTCCCTGTTTGGCAACCTTAGGCAGACTCTCGGGTTCAATGTATTCATGGGGAAACTCCTGAAACACCTCCTGAGCCCCCTGTATAATATAAAAAACAGACCTACCAATACAGGAAACAAAATGTTCTGAATTCTTCACAACTTCAGTTAAATTGTTTCACTTGTCTAGTGAATTTCTGTACTTTTGAGTTTTTTTTTTCATAATTATAAACTCTGGATTTTATTTTGACATTTTTATATTATGTACCTGTGACACATTTCCCGATCCCGTGAAAACAAACACCAGAGGACCGATAGACTTTGGTAGTCGATCTAACGCGATCTCATACCCAGCATCTCGCACGGCCTGTCTCGCCTGCTCAGTGTTCCTGTAGTTATGACTTGGTCCAATGTGCTGAAATTTTAAATCAATTGAAACCAGTTGAAATCATATTTTCACTTGTTGATGAATTGTTTAAAGTATTATGCCTCTGCCACATATTACTTACTTGTAATTAATGTTAGTTTAAACTGGAAAAAAAATGATCTTTTATCCCCACATATGATCCCATGTTATCCAGGGTATGCATATCAATGACACAAAGAGACTAAATATTCTACAATTATTCCTCCAAATCTAATTTCTTGATTTATAAATCTGCACTAAATTCACATTTTATAATTGCAGTGAAAACTGAAGCTCTATGACAAAGTTACTATTATGTACTCAAAGAAGCAGTGCAAGAAAACAAAAACAAACCATAAATGGTGTATGATGTCCGAGCGCCAGGAGCCTTAATCCTAGACCATGAAGAATGTTTATCATTCCAGCTACGCCTGCATATTTACCAAATGCCACAACACGCTGGCCATTGTCATCTACCATTCTCTCATAGTCTATTAAACGGATGTTCTGATGAAAAATACAAAACAATATTGATATTATTTAAGAATCTTCAATTAACCAAAAACAATTTTTAGTTACAAATAATGTATAATCTTAATCTTGAGCTTGAAACCAATGATCACATTTTAATATCATGATTATTAGTTAATTAATGCAATTGCATGAAAAACAGAGTCAAATTCTTAATAATCAATTAAAAAAAAATAATTTATATTAAAATCCATTTAAGCTTTTCACCTTTTCTAAAATAGCATCCAGCAAAGGCATATTATCCTTTTGAGCTTTGATGGTATGAGAGAAAAATGCATAGGTCTTGTCCGGTAGAAGAAGGTCGATGGGGACGGACTTGACCCCAATAATCAATTCTGCTTCACTTAGGTCCTCCTTAATTTCTGCCCCAACAGCCGAATACTCCTGTTGAATAAAGAAAATGTGTACTAGAAATATGCTTATATTGTATATCTTAAATGTTTAAAATAATTTTCTTTTACTATACTTGCAGTTTTAATAGTATCAATATACAGTGACAAATTAATGTTGGAAAAAATGTGAGCTAAATGTCCAGTTTCAAAGTTTACTTGGGATTCTTTAAAGATTCATTGTATTAGAAAGTAAACCTTAACAGCAAAATAATTCAAAATGCATATTTCAAATATCTTAATGAAGATTTCTTTTGTTAAAACATGTAAATAATATTGAAGACAAACATGTACACTCGTGCAAGCAACTTTGGTGCACTCTGGTTGCCAAAGGTCCCAGGTGCAGGTCCAATCTGTAAAAAATTTCATTTTAGCTTGTCTGACCAAGGCAATTATTTTTTTTTTAATTTGGATGACATCTATTACAAAAGTATATGTAACAATTCATGTATACTATTGCTATAATATTAAAATGTACAATGAAAACTCTACATTTCACCAAAAATAATCTGATATAGGAAGTACTTTGTAAAAGCAGGTCATCAAATTCTGAGTGTTGCATATAAATATTTCAACAATGTGTACAGCCAAAAAAGAATCAAGGAAGGCATATAGATTGTACAGTAAAATTATTAGTACCACACTTTTACTCTAACAACTCATTTCAATCCACCCACCTGCATATTGTAGGCTCTTCTGTTAGATGGCTGAACAATGACCTTGACCCCATTCTTCACCAGCCTTCTGACTTGTCGTGGATTGAGGGGGGCCCTTCTCTCCCACACATTAATGGTCTCACGTCGAATGGCCATGACCTTTGGCCCCTCTGACATAAACCGCTGACTGACCTCATGTTGTGGGGATAAAAGTCGAGAACAGACCCTCTGTGTCGTCTTCCTCCACATTTTCCTAAAGGTCAAGGTCACAGCCCTGGTTACAAGCCCACTTGAATGTACTGTCTCTTATTTATCGTGTAGCTATGGCACTGGTTATGACTTAAATGAGTTCTTAAATAAGTCTTCCTTATTTTTCTCCTCCAACCTTTATAAAATAACTGTAATTTAAAAAAAATGTCATCAATTAATGTTTTCCTCTAGGAGAAAAATCCTAAGTGTGCATATCAATCAGTACAAATGAAGTGCAGTAAAGTCAAGGATTTAATTTGAATTCCATTTGAAAATAGCACAAATCTATATTCCTATCATCTCAAGTCTAACAATCAATTCAATGGGGGTTTTTAAAATGTTTTAAGTTGAATCAGATAACAAGAAATACCTTATGTCAAATACACATTCATCCTGTCTGCAATTCAGCCATATAAATACAGTGTATACATACCAGGTATTACTTTTTCATGTTTTTGCAGCCTAAGTTCTAGAATGTTTGTGGTCTATGACTTATATAATTATATACATTAATTATCCAACTTGTTGTGCATTGGAATACTTTAATTTATTTAATATATACATACAGAGGAATTTAAATCTGAATTTTATCAAAATTTGCATATCATTATTCCAAGAGTAATATGATACGAGTCAAATTTGCTGAACCGGGTCAACGACTGAATGGTTACCTGTAAGTTAGTCAGAAACAAAAGAAAATTGGCACAATTAATATACACAGGATCTCATATTTCAAATTTTCAACAAAAAAAAATCCTCTTCATAGACAGAAAGTTATTCTGCATAAGATTCACAAATATAATCATGATTATACATGTACATAATCAAAAACAATGTCTCATAGTTGAAATTAAAAAAAATCTGTGTAAGAGAAGCTGTTCTGTGATAAAAAGCTAGCTACTATATCATTTAGGTTATTCATATGAAGGTAGAGCTATCACAGATAAAAATGTAATTTATGTGTCTGGTGCAACTAAATTATTCAAGATGAGCAATTAAGTTAAGTCTATCCATCAATTTGAAATACAAAATGTTTTAAAATTATAGTTTACCACAAAAAAAGATTTATTAATATATCAAGATGTTTAGTATGCACTTCCTTAATTGATATTAAACATGTTAAATAAAGCACTGTCTGTGTATCTATCACAAAGCTGCTACTGAAGACGTATATATGTACATTAATCCTTTTATCTGTTCACATTAATCAGACTCTATTATCCATATACATGTAATCCACCTTTGTCAAAGTTTTAAAAACAAATGTCCAAAATCAGAGGTTCATTTGTTGTTTATCACATTTATTACCATGATGCTTGGTGCAGCTAAAAATAAAATTTAAAGTACATAGCTAAGGTAAATGATATGCCCACTGGAACTAACTTGTGATTTAAAAGTTATTTTCTGACTATGCTATACTTGCATTGGTCAATATTTTAATTAGCTACAAGGTATTCTCTTCTCATTCAGCCACCAGAATGGAAGAGGATCATATTACATGTACATTTTGGATGTGGTTTGTGATGATACATATCACCACTACACAGTCATAAAATTTCAAACAGAGGTCACAGTGACCTACTTTTGGGTTGTGAAACACTTCCTAAAAGTATGCTTTAGGGCACTGAACTATACTTCTCTAGACAGTTATAACATTTCAAATGAGGTCAATGTGACCTACTTTTGGATTTAGAAACACATAATTTTCCAAAAAAAAGATGCGTCAATGGACAGGGTTGAATGATTCAGTCTCACACTGTGCAAGTTACGATTTGGACACAATCTGAGTATGGATAGCTTTAGAATATCAAAATGAGTCCACTGTGACCTACTTCTGAGTCATGATATATATGTACATGTACATGTGTACCTTCTTGGCAAAGTACTACACATACCTCACATAGTGCAAACTATGATCTGGACATAATTTGACTATGTAAAGCCATAAATTTCAAAATTAGGTCATCATGACCGACTCTTAGACTGCAAAATATCTTCCCTCCAAGGGAACGTGTTTGATAGTTCTTTAGTCCCCCACAGTGTGCAAGATATGATATTGGATGTGATTTGACCTAGGCCTAGCAGTGTGAAATACATGTAAAGCTTACAGATGAAGAGAGAAACAGATGCAGGGACAGTTCTAGAGGATTGGGGGGAGGGGGATTCTGCCCCCCCCCCCCGGAATTTTCAGAGTTACAAAATTTCTATGTAAAAGTAACAAATAAAAAAGACCTTAGACTCCCCTAAGAAACATGGTCCATGTATCTGATGCAAACATTTTTTTTCACGTTTAGTTAAAAAAAAAAAAACATGTACCCCCCCCCCTCCTTTCTACAGACTTTTACTATTTGAGTTGTATGTGTCGAAAATAAGTATCTAAAAAAGAGAATAAAAATGGAAAATCAAAACAGTATTGTGAGTCATATGTTTAAAGAAGGACGGTCACAATATCATGAGCTTTCTTTATGTTTTCACACTGACTTAACATGCTCAAGTAGCAGACGTACTTTAGGTGTCGTAATGACCTAATTATCACACCTCCCGTGGAGAGCCTCAAATTTCATGTTGAATCGATTTTCCATAATAATATCTTGGTCTCGTTGCAAGAATACATCTTGTACTTAGACCGCTGCCTTTATTCTATTGATAAAATTTTCATGAACGAAAAACTGTACAGAATTTTGGGAAGAAAAGGGTGGAAAGAGGAAGAACGGGGGAAAAAACTCAATGGACCAACTTGGACTATAGCCATGAGTTTATTATAAGAAAATAAGGCACCAGATAAAGACTTATCATTAAATAAAGCTTATGTACAAAATTAAATACTTACACTGACTTATAAAGGTTGGCTTTTTCTCTCAACTTGACCTCGTTACATGAAGAATTGCGTTTCTGTCTGCAGAAATTTTGTAAACATGTCCGATTTTGCTAGCCAATCAAAATGCACTGTAAAGCACACCCCTGAAAAACAAGGTGAATATTTGAAGGACAAAGCTATCTTTAGACTTGAAGGAGCGGATCCCTCGTCGGCTGAGGTGTTGGGGGAAGGAGTGGATAGCATGGCGACGGGGTTTGTATCGATTCCGGCTTTAATAACCGTGTTAACTACATGTATCTAGAGTGTGGTCAATGTGTACATGTGTTGGGTGTTTGGGGGGGGGGGGGGCTAATCAACCTCAATTTTTTTGTGTGATTGGCATTTTCACCATGTGTTCACTCATTCAGTCTTCTTTTTTTTCTTTACCTTTGTTCGCTATTCTTGAATTACTGGGGGAACCCCCGGTTCCACTGACGCTGGTTTTATTGAGGAATCCTAAGGTCTTTTTTTAAAAATCTATTATTAATTTATTTAATTTTTTCTTTGCTATTTCTGTTTTATCATTTTTTTTTTTCAATTTTATTTTATTATTATTTTGGTGGTTTTTTTTTTAATTTTTTGTTTCCTCTTGGGGTTGGGGGTGGGGGAGGGGTGTTTTTCAATTGGACACTTTAAAAAAAAAAATACACTCTTAATTACGACTTTAAATTGATACGTACGCTGTATCATAATTATTTTGTCCAATATTATATATTTTGCTGTGTTGTCTGAACAAATTAAAATGCACCAGCTCAATCGGAAGCGCAAGATTAACTTGATCAAAAAGTGAGTCCAGCGATATCCATGCAGAAGATCTTTAATTCAGAATGTTTGACAAACTTTGCTTTGTTTTAAAATCTACAATTCACTCAACTCAATTTATCAAAACTTTAGCTCGATAGATTAATGTTTACCAAATATATACCGGGGTAATGGCTCTCACTAAAAATATATGTATCTCTCTTTCCTCTCCCTCAATATGGGCCGACAATAGAATTGCATGGGATCTACTTTAAGACCACTTCACCTTAGTTTACATCAATCGTTATATATATACCTTTTTTTATAATCGCTTCAGCTGTGTTTTATTTGTCAAATATTGAGTGAAGTCGATCCCCCTTTCCCAACCAACCATTTATCAGATAAAGCTTTGTGAATCTGAGTGATATATTCATATTAAACTACAGGTACTGTGAGCACTGATCTCACAAAATGATACTATACGCCCGCTCCCATATTAGTGTATTAAATGACAAAGTCTATGTTTCGCAATAAGAAACAATGACAGTAATCAATAAAGATAAAGAACAATGACAGTAATCAATAAAGATAAAGAACTTGCAGGTTAAATCACAGGTACTTGTGGACAGGACCCCCCCCCCCTTCCAATATGCCCCACAGGTCAAAAAATTTTTATGTATTTTTTTCACAAATTATTCTTCTAGTACACAATTGTAAATGTGAAGTCGATCCCCCTTTCGGGTATGATTTTTTAGTAAAACGTTAATTCTGCGTTATTTTTTGGATTTTTCTTATGGAATACATTGTAAATGTGTACTAGAAGAATAATTTGTGAAAAAAATACATAAAAAATTTTTGACCTGTGGGGCATATTGGAAGGGGGGGGGGGGTCCTGTCCACAAGTACCTGTGATCGCAAGTCGAACGCCTTTCTGTATTCACCGACAGTGTTGACAACAGGGTACATTATGCGTGTCATAAACCCAGAGATGTATCGAAATGTGTGCCTAAAGCGTCATTTTAGCGTGTTGTTTACTGTGGCAACTGAATGAAACAATTGTTATTAAAGGAAAAAGCCCGAGATACCAAATAGATCGTAAGTCGAACACAATCGACCACAAGTCGAACGGCCAGATATGAAGTCGAACGCCATTTACTAGTATTCCGAGTCGCATGAATTACGAATTTTTCATTGATCCTCCACCTTTTCTGTTGATTTTATCTTATTTCTCTCTGTATTCAGTTTTTTTTTTCAGTTTTATATGCTTTGTCTCTCTTTTTTTCATCCTCCGTTGAACATGTTTGAAGCCCAATTTGAAGTTATGGCAAAAAAGAAAAAAAAAGTTCTGCTTTCTTTTTTTCTTTTTTTCTTTTTTTTTTTTTTCTTTTTTTTTTTTTTGACATCGATCACTGTTTGTTATCGTCATTTTTTACACTTAGAAGTCTTTTCTAAGGTAACATTTCGAATGCTTAAATTATTCGTTCCAGGCGAATTTATGTGGTCAGGACTCAATTTATTGTTTGAAGTTTCACAACTTTCTATGGTAGGACTAATTTTCTTAAAGTTCGATTACTTTATTCAACGCAAAATAGTTTCAATCTAAACAATCTTGCCATAAAACAAATTCAATTTGACATATTTTAAAATCAGAAGACATAAAACGATTTACAAAATTGCTTAAAAATTTAATGTTGAATATTTATTTCTTCAGAAATTTTAAAATCTTTCATGCGGATTTTAAAACCATTCAAATTATCTCTATAAGCTTTCCATTTTCTTTTTGTTTAATCAAATGTTAATCCTCTGTTACGGCCCCTATTTTCCTGAGATCTCAACAAATCTTATTTTTTTCCGGAACTGGCGCATCGTTGTTTTTTTTTAAAGGGGGGGGGGGGCGAAAAAAGATTCAAGACAACGTACCTGAAAAAGGTGAAGATAGGGAACGGAATCAATCTCAAGAAAATCTACAGTCAATACAAATCTGTAAAAAGGATATAAAACACGAACCCCCGGAAATTCCAGAGGTGGGATCAGGTGCCTAGGAGAAGTAAGTTGCAATTGACCAGTCACATCCGCCAATTCAGTCTTCGAAATAACCCGGGAGTCCGATGCGCGGGACCTGGTAAAATTGCGGGCGGGCATGTAAAAAATGAAGATTCACATGCCCGCTGGGCATGTGTAATGTTTTCTCCATTGTAGACTGACTTTTATGTAAAAATATTTTACACAGTGGATTGCAATCTATACTAAGTCTTTCGTTTCTGATATTAAAGTGTGTACGGTATTTTATTCCATGACAATTCCTTTTCCCTTTTTGTTTCTAATTGGCATTTCTTGATTTTTTGTGTGTGAAAATTTGAATAGTAGTTTAGTAAAATAACCGGTAAATAAAATCAAAAGAAATTAAATTTACGTCAGAAGTTATCGTTACCCCCCCCCCTTTTTCAACATGTTCAATACTCGTTTATTAAATTCAGATTTCGTCAAAAATAGCAATGATTACCACATTTTGGTAGATTTATTATTTCTTGTAGATTCACTGACCTTTTTTAACAGCCCTGTTTATACATGTATTTAATGTACCAAATAAATATGCCGTCAGTAGTCAAGTAAATAGGTGAAATTTATTTTTTATTACCTAATGTAACAACATAGTTAAAACAGACAAGTATATATACTAAATAAGTTGACCAAAGAAGTGCACACACACATTTTGAAATCAATTTCACAGGTGTCATATGCAATGAAGCGTAACAAACTAATCCCTGTCGTCTTTCTACTGTTGTTGAAATGCACGAGATAATCATGCCACATTGTGTACACAAACTGTAAATACACTGTAGGATTTTTACATGAAATCCAAATTCAGTATGTTAAAAACTGCATGCAGGTTTTTCCGTAATGATAAACTACTACATTTCAAAATTTTCGGTAATGCATTACAGCAATAAAAAGTATATGTTCTTGACTACCCGAAAGAATATTTTTCACTCTAAATTTTTTATTGTTGGTCCATTCTTGTATAAACAATGGTTCATACACTGTAAAGACCGTTTTTTTTTTTTATTTCATGAAGTTAAATTTTGAGTAGGGCATGTAAACTTGGTAAAAGTAGTAGATGAGATGCCCGACGGGCATGCGTTGTGAAGACTGCGCCATGAGCCAGCAAAAACAAAGAAGTAATTATCCAATCTCGTTCCATGCGGTTGGGGGGGGGGGGGTTCAACTGTTTCAACAATAAGATTTTTGGCTACATAAAACGGGCGATTTTACCGTGCTGCAAAAAATTAGGGGATGGGTTGCAGCTAGACTTTTCAATGAACATTTTCAAACTAAATTTACAGTAAAATATTATGTTCCAAAATATACTTCGTGCGTCAGATCTTCTTAATTAAATATTCATCATTGTTTGTCTTTTCACTGTCGTGGTAAATGGATAAAGCATTAAGAACCCACCTGTAACATGCATTGGGCTCTGGAGAGCACTGAAAACATTGGCAGGCGCAGACCCAGGTATTTTTTTCCAGAGAGAGGGGAGGGGGAACTAAATCACAAAAAATCCAACTCACAAATTTGTTGATAAAAAAAAAGAAAACTCCTTTCCCCAGCATGAGGATTTTTGCACAAAGTTTAAAACTTGATTTTAGACGTAATTGCCAAAATAGATAGCCTACATCTAAATTTGCTATATTACGACTAGATGTTTACAATTAAAATGATCACGTAAATTGTGGTCTGAATCATGGAATAATTAAAGTACTGGTGGCACAGGTTTGTTTGTTTGTTCGTTTGTTTGTTTGTTTGTTTTTTGAATGGAAAGAGTTGATTCATTTTCTTCTATAATAATATAATCTTTATAAATCTTATAAAGCCTTTATTCTCTCTTGTGTAAATTGCGGTATTTTTATCGTTGTTTCTAGGCTAGTGTCAAACACTGATCGACTTGCGTTCATTTTCGGTGTTCGACTCCGTATCATTTTTTGATATTAATTCAATGAGCTTTGGTTAATTATTTTGCGAATTATGTATCCAAAACCATATAAAAACAGCTTTTAAAAATATTGATTGGTATAAATCTGTCTTTTAAAGTATTGATTAGCTTATTTGGTAAATGTTTGGAGCTTTGAAACAACATGGATAATTCATTTACGACAGAAAATTTGGAGAAATCACCTTCAAATTTCCCGGCACCTAGAACTATTAACAGAAGAGTTCGACTTAGAAAAGATAACTCTAATTGATTAAATGGATAAAAAAGAAGACAGATAATCAAGAGTTGCCTACCATTTATTGTTTATCAAAAGGTGTAGGTGACGTTTAAAATGCGTTCGACTCGCGGTCATGTTCGACTTTCGATCAGTTTACTCTAAAGGAATCCACGATTAATGACTGCCCCGTCCTCTCTTCCCCCCCCCCCCCCCCAGGAAAATACAAACCTTCTTAAGCTGAAAGGAAGATTCACACATGTCCATTTTGTCTGTTTTGTTTTGAAATTTTGTACATGTATGTATAAAATGCGTAAAGCAAAGGATATAACCAAACTTTTAAATCGTCTGATGTTGCATGGGCAATTGAAATCGCCTTTTTGTAAGAAATCGTGTATTTTCGATATTTATAATGTTTGTTGCGGGAAAATTAATATTCCAAGGATTGAAGAACTTTTGATCAGACAATACCAGATCTGGGTGTATTGTGTATTGGTTGGATGTACCCCCCTCCCCTCCCTTCAAATGAAACGTGTTCGTGCTAATCCATTAATTATATCTGCTGCATGGAATATTTTACATTCAATTTTAATACAATGTTGTTCCTCGATCTCTAATGACCGAGTCAAAACAAAATTAAGGATTAAAAGAGATTAACGTAATACATTAAGACTCTCTAATCCCAAATAAAAGTTTATTAAAGAATTTAAAGCATCTATTAACAGCATCGAAAGGCTAATGTCTCTTTGTTCAGTTTGGCATGTAACATTCATTTGATCAAGATACCAACAACCTGTCGGTTATCTTAAATAGCGAGTCCAGAGAGATGACAAGTTGTGTTTTTAATGTCCGTAATGGATGGTGCAACAACTATATTGGTTCCCTTTCTTATCTTCTTTCCATATTACACAAGTGGTAAGACACTTTGAATAAGTCTGATTGATGTAAGATTTAGACTTATATGTAAAATACTTAAAGTTGATGGAACCATGCTTCCCCGCGTTACTTTTCAGGTATATATATACTGTACACAGAAATATAATTCCATTTTGGTTGCAGCTATGAATCTTCAACGAGTATATAAAATGTATATGGCATAAGAAATCAAACAACGAAGTCACACTTTAATTATTTCAGAAGCTGATTAAAAAAATCGTTAAAGAACACACTTATTTTGATTTATTTCAGGCATCATCGACAACAGAGGAACAAAATTCGTGATTGGATTCATGGAGAATTTTCAGGCAACACTTTTCAGTGAGATTTTCATTACTACAGCAAAATCCCAACCTGTGTTCGTCAATATAACAAGTCCGCGTTGGTACAATCCAAAAATTGACATTTCATTGGATGTCACTTCTGGTACTGTCAAACAAGTCAACATTTCTAGTTCACTCAGAATGGGTGGGACCTCTCTCAATTCTAAAGGGTTGCTGATCGAAGCATCCAATGAAATTGTGGTATATGGTTTCAACAAAGAACCGTTTTCAAATGACGCTTTCCTTGCAATTCCATGCGATGCAATCGGTACCGATTACTTTGTAACATCATACCTACCGTCATTTTTCAAATCCGAACTCTTAATCGTTGGTGTTTCCAATGCAACATCTATAGGAATCAAACTCAGCACAACATTGCAATCAGTAATAACATTCCAAGGTAGCAATTTCAGTAAAAGCCAATGGATAAATATTAGTATTGATGCATTCGACACTCTCCAATTGCAAAGCACAGGAGACATCACAGGAACGTACATTATTGCAGACAAACCGGTGTCCGTCTTCAGTGGTAACGTATTAACAGCAATAGGAAATGGCACAGCGGACCACATTGCGGAACAACATTTATCTACCGATAAATGGGGAAAGACTTTTGCTACTGTTCCAATACCAGGTCGTGTTGTGGGGGACTATTTTAGATTTGTTGCATCAGAGCACGACACAAATGTTCAAATTAAGGGACTGGACAATTCCACAGCAACAACAGACGTATTTATTCTTCAAGAATCCGGGCAATGGGTTCAGAGACATTTCAGTTCTTCTTTCTATGCATTAATTACAGCGGACAAACCAATCTATGTTGTTCAATATTCTCTTAGTCAAATGAATCGTAATATGGCCGACCCCTCGATGATAATAATTCCACCCATGGAGCTGTATGCTGCAAACTACGTATTTACGACACCCAAAAGCGCAACGGGTTCCTACGACAGTTACTTTATGTTTGTGGTCAAAAAAGTAGACTTGGATGGACTGAGAATTAATGTCATGCCTCTCAACACAACTGAGGTCTACGAGTTCCCTGGTGGGGAATTTTTGGGCGGATATGTATCATTGGCTGAGGGTACCTACGACGTCCGTCATATTTCACCAATCTGTGTTTTTGGAGGGGTTTTGTATGGGAAAGGGTGGTTCGAGACTTATGGATTTCCGACAGGAATGAGACTGACTTCCATCAATAGGGTACGTACCAAAATGTAGTTTTTAATTAGAAGCTGAAAAGCAAAAATAGGTTTTATTTTTCTGTCTATACTCAGTTCAGTTATAGAAGTACTTACAATTCTTTCTGAAGCCTTGCATAAATTCCCCTTCATCTCATGGAGACGGACTGGACAATGATTGTGACAGAAAGATCGACGAAGAAATAGATAACGGTCAAGGTATCAATATGATTCTTTCAAAGGGTTAGCTTCCAGAAAATTTATATAATCTTCTTTATTTTTTTTCACATATTGACTGCAATGGTTTTTAATGCTGATGGAAATTAACAGATATCTGTGTGTTTGTCAGATGATGATGGCGATGGATTGATAGATGAGGATTGTGCAGAGGCTTATCAAGGTAGGATATTTGCCAACAAATTGTAAAAGTCAATCTCTATATAAGTCAGAGGAGATATTGGTTTAGTATTCCCTTAATTGTAGACAGGCCATGTTTTGCAACACCGTGCTTTAATGGTGGAACGTGCACTGAGAACGGGAATAACTATACGTGCACGTGTATTAGTGGTTATGATCCAGCGTCAGACTGTCGACTTCGTAAGTTAAATGATATAGAGTTTTTAGAGCTGGGATTACATGTATTGTCAAGATGCATTTGTATTAATTTTAATACTGGTATCTACCTCCTTAGAAATCGATTTTTGCCGCAGAAACCCTTGCCCTCATACCAAGATATGCTCTCCTCACCTTGGTGGTTTCACGTGCATCTGCAAAGCAGGCTTCACAGGGACCCACTGTACTACTGGTATTACTACAGATGTACTAACAATGAAAAATGAAACAAATTCAGGTTTAAGGTATTTCTATATCAAAATATCTATTTCAAACAGATATATATATTTTTGTTTTTTATTAGATATTGATGAATGCGCTAGCTCTCCCTGCATTCATGGAAACTGCACGGATTACGTGAACGGATATCAATGTCTGTGTAACTCGGGGTATTCCGGTATCAACTGTGAATTAGGTAAAACGGCAATTACACACCCAGCTTAGCCAGAGTTACCTGCTGGACATACTCTTATAAGATTTGAATGACATATTGTTCTTCTTTTGTATTGTAGATACAAATGAATGTGCTAGTTCTCCTTGTATCCATGGTAACTGTACTGATGACGTCAATGGTTATACATGTTCCTGTGACAATGGTTTCACTGGGAAAACATGTTCCACATGTATGTCACATTAGCGAGAGAAAGCCTCTCATCACAAAGACAATTGTTTCAAAGATTTTCACTTAAATTTTATTTGATCAATTTGCTTGGATTTCTAGGGGGGAAAACTGTAGGCCCTATACGTAGTTATTCTAAGTCAGCTGATTTACATTTATTAATTTTAGATACTTCAAGCACAGATTGTTTGTCCTCCCAATGTGAGGTGATTCAGTGTTCCATATTTAATTTTACTTCAGGCTGCTATTATGGTAAGAAAAAAAACCCACCAAATTTTATGCACATAATGTCTATTAATGTATCCCAATTCCTCTGATTTCAGGTTGTTCAGATTAACCTATACAGTACATGCGCTTTTTAAAATTGCAATTCTGGAGAGGGTGACCGAATGTTGTGCTTCAAAGTGCAACTTGACGCTACTTTTATTCATGTATAAAATGAAATGTTAAATAAATGTGTTTTTCTATATTTTTTTCTGTTGAATAAAATCGCAAAGTTAGACAAAAATAAACTCTAAAGTGAAATTTATTTCGTTTTCTCTTTCTGATATTTTTCAGCTTTAATCTCGTGTTTAATATCTGCTGTAGTACTGGCAACCTTTTCCTTCTGCATTATATTTTGCTATGGCATTAAAAAGAGAAAACGGTAAGTAAAGCAACATACGTAATTATACATGCCTAAAGCAAAATGTTCAATAAGTTTGCTTATTAAACATGTACTTTAAATTTTATAGTTGTGAACAAATACGTGTACTAGACTTGATTTTTTCTTCAGAAAACCAGTACCACCTCCATTTTCATTTGAAGACACCACCTTAGGAGCAACAAAGAGAAGATTTAATTTTCATATTTTCCAACAACACGAGAACAATTTATGACTAAAACACCACATTTTAATAAATATACAATATGTTATGAATTCATTGTATTTGGTTTTTCTGCAATTTGAGAATATTTGCATACTAAGTAATCCTTTAAAGTTTTAAACTCACTAAAAAAGTACACCCAGCAGAACACAGCATTTCATCTTAAACATCAGATAAATACAAAATGCATGTCATAGGTTCTAGAGGGCCGGGGTTGGAGGGGGAGTCCGGAGCCCCCCCCCTCCTGAAATTTGCGGAGATATTAGTTGTACTTACCTGTAGTAAAGTAACTGAACTGGGATGGACCCCCCTTTTTTTGGAAAAAAAAATTCTTGGATCTGCGTCTGTATGTCAAAAAATTCCAAAGTCTTATAGAGTCAAGTTTGTGACAGAAAAAATATCATAGTTATATATATATAGTTTGTGAAATTCCAATCAAGTACGCATGGAGGTTTTCTGGATGAATAAAAAAACTGTTAACATTTAATCCATATGGAACACAAAACCGTATGATCAATGTAATGCAGGCTAAATTGCTTGTCAGGGGTTTCAGTATTCTTTCAGTGGTGTTTATGAATGGCAAATTGTTTTCTTTACAGGCCCGTGGGAAGCAATTTCACTTTGAAGGGGCACAAACATACATTTTCAGTTGGGAGGCACCATCAACTACCAAAATTCCTTGACAAGCAAAAAAAAAAAAAGAAAAAAAAAAAGGTCATCAGACGTTATTCTTGAGGGGCACAAGCATATAGTAGCTATGTTTTCTATAGTATTCTATATATCGGCAAAATTATTGGGGGGGGGGGGGTCCTACGGCCATGCTTTATAGCACAGTGGTCAGGTTTTAGTGCTGTGGTCGGGGGTCAGTTTCCTGATGGCCAGATAGCTTGTTGCTGGTCTGGTCCTTCATTTTTTCTCGCTTCCTGTTATCAATTAAAAGAATTACTTCCACCGAACAAATGACCTTTGTTTCATTAACGATGACTAGTGCTCCATCTGTTCTATACTGTAATCAACTCAACAGTTGAACAAAACTGATTTGATTCTGAAAAATCTATTTTACACGATATTTAACGTAATCAGTGATCATTCTACAATTAAAACACCGATTAGTCATTCAGGTACATGCAGGAAGTCAAGGTTTGAAGACAATCATTATACAGACTAAGTTCGATTTTGTCCTAACCCCAGATTTGGCTGATCGTGCCTATGCTGTGGAATATTTAAAGTGTGACGTGAAAATAATCTATCGGTTCAACATCTCATCAACTGCAACCGGTCCAACATCATTTTTTTTAACCGCTCAGCAAAACATTGGCCATGTTCGTTTTTATGCCCCCGTTTCGAAGATTCGGGGGTATATAGTTTTTGCCCTGTTCATTCGTCTGTCTGTCTGTTTGTCCGAAAAAACTTTAACCTTGCCCATTACTTTTGACTGATTGGAGCTATGGCTTTCATATTTCACATATGTATTCTTTGACCTTGACCTTGGAGTTTGATCTACTTTAATTTTGGAAAACTTTAACCTTGGTCATAACGTTTGAACAGTTAGTGCTAGAATTTTCATACTTCACATGTGTATTCCTGGTGACAAGACCTCTCTTGGATACCAACATCATATTTGATCTTTTGACCTTGGTGTTTGACCCACTTTTGCAAATTTTTATGAGACTTTAACCTTGACCATAACTTTTGAACAGTTGGAACTTAGGCTTTCAAACTTCACATGTGTATTCCTTGTGATAAGACCTTCATTTGGATACCAGCAACTTTGACCCTTGACCCTTTGACCTTGGAGTTTGACCTACTTTTGATGAAAAAACTTTAAACTTAGCCATAACTTTTGAACAGTTGGTGGTAGGGCTTTCATCCTTCACATGAGTATTCCTTGTGACAAGACCTTCCTTGGATACCAACATCTTTGACCCTTTGACCCCGACCCTGGAATTTGACCTACTTTTGAAAAACTTCAACCTTGACCATAACTTTTAAACAGTTGGTGCTAGGGTATTCATACTTCACATGTGCATTCTTCCTTTAGATACCAACAACTTTGACTCTTTGACCTTGGAATTGGACCTACTTTTGAAAAACTTTATTCTTGCCTATAACTTTTGAACCATTGGTGCTAGGGTTTTCATCCTTCACATGTATATTCCTTGTGACAAGACCTTCCTTTGGATACCAACAATTTTGGCATTGACCTTGACTTAGGAGTTAAACGTACTTTCAAAAAACTTCAACCTTGGTCATAACATTTGAACATTTTATTCTAGGGCTTTCACATTTAATGAACATGTTTATCATTTGTGACAAGACCTTCCCTTGGGCACCATTTCATCTTGACTATGACGTTTTACTTACTTTTTAAAAACTTTAGCCTTTGCCATAATTTTTCAATGGTTGGTGCTAGGGCTTTCATATTTCAAAGGTATATTCCTTGAGACAAGACCTTTCTTTGGGTACCAACTTTTTTGATCTCTTGGCCCGGAATGTGACTTGCATTTGAGAAACTTTAACCTTCGCCATAAGCTGCCATACAGGGGCATCAGTGTTTCACAAACACTTCTTGTTTTAGTATAGATTTAAATGGGAAAGTATACAATGTTGATTTATAACTGCATGACTAAATGCAAAACCTGTCATTACTTTATGAACAATAACAAAGTGATTCCAAATACCGTATAAGCAGAAATTTTAGCGAGGATTTAATTTTGACATTTTTAGCAGGTGTTGAGATCGCTTAAATTAATTGGATATTGCTAACAATTCCTTCAGCATTTAAATTACCATAATTATATTTGTAGGTATCATAAAACTATTTCTAGCTAAAATATACCGATTTTCAGAGCAAAATGCTAAAATTCCACTTATATGGTATAGGTAGATGCTGGACTGTTTTTATTCAATGACTATGTGGTCAGTAATGACATAAATAGAAAGTGGTCATCAAGTGGTTCAACCACTGAGGACAAAGAAGTAAGATTTACAAATATCCTTATAAATCCATTTATTTGTACCAATGAAATCACACTATATGGCACTGTTAAACAAATCTTCCATCATTATTCATGTTAAAAAAAAAGACACTAGGGGACATTTCAAAAAACTTGTTAATTAACCCTAATGCACACTTGATCTGAACATGCATGACAGAGGGAAATTCAAAAAAAAAAAATTACACAATGTATCATTCAATTGACTAGACAATAAAAAATTCACAATATCTAATGCACAGTCAGATGTAAAAAAAAGACCTCTTGACGTTCAAAATTAAATACCCGGTACTAGTACTTATACCTTACAATAAAATCTTGTTTTCTAACAAGATGGGGCTGAGAAAATATCCAAGGATTAGGGATATGGTTGGGACTACCAACTCACTTCTGCATATCCGTGGTATTCAAGATACTGATGTTTGAGATACAGAAGTTTAACTGTATAATGTTTATGAACAAAAATTCTACTTCATGTAGTGTGTTTTTTAAAAAAGGGGGAAGCATCAAAATTAGTTATTGCTGTAGCAACGTATAATCATTCAAGGTTCATGAATAGTTGTAGATTTAGTTGTAATGTATGTTTAAAAGCTACATGTAGGTTCTTCAAAATTTCAAATTTTCCAAACTTATTTTATAGATATCATGTTTATCAAAACTATGCATAATTTATATATATCAAAACTCAAAAAAAAAAAAAAACAAACAAACAAATAAAACAAAAACCAAAAAAAAAAAAAAAAAAAAAGAAGAAAATCCCTCCCTGGTGGTTTCCCATCTTACACAAAAAAAAAAAATTCTTGAGACACAAATCAAACAAAAACCCAACCAACTAAAAGCACTTTTAAACAAATCTGAAAACTAAAAAAATACTTATCAACCTCTTCAATACAAAAAAAAGTAATAATACCAAAAAAAAAAAAAAAACAAAAAAAAAGAAGAAGGAATTCAATGCAACTCTTTTAAAACCTTGTCAAACATTACAAAAACAAGCCACAAAAAGTTATATAAAAACTGTATCACAATATGTAATACCCAACAGCTATAAAGGAAAAAAAAACTCCTTCACAAATTGTGTTATATTAGGCACCTGAATCTACAGGTATCTTACTGGAATGTACAAAAAAGCTAATTATTTATATGTATGTCTTATCATACTAATGTTCTCCCTGACAATGTTCATGTGCATTTTGAATATAAAATTAAGTTAATGTTATAGTTTATGAGACCTAGACCTAAAATAAGCAAAATGGTCAAAATTGAAAGTTTCCAATTACACAAGCATTTTGGATTATGTAGAATGGAATGGGGAACTGCATTAAAATCTAACAAACTCTTAATACCATTGAATACATATAGCATTAGGTCACTAAGTAAACAATTAATATTGCACACTGAAATAAAAAAATAAATACTAAGAAATTCTAGTCTGTTTTGGGTATCTATCTGAGAGCTCTGAGTTCACTTTATTAATTAAATTTCCTAGCAGGTCTAGCTGTCAGCTGGCTTTCAAGTACAAATTTCTTTTTAAAATCCATATTTTTGGCTTAGTGGTGACAACAATGGGAGGCAATGATCGAATATCAACTCTGAGTGTATCAAATCCATCAATCTTTGCTATTACAGAATGTGTACTCTGGTAAAACTGTAGAATATCATCATCACTGACAAAGAGGTGAGAGAAATCCAGCATCTCCTGAGATCCTGGTAGTATGTCCTCTGTCTTATTATATCTACAATGTACAATAATCTGGATTAATAGTAAAACTACAGGTGTAAAGATGTCAATACATTATTTGTGAAAAACATCTAATTCTATAGATAGTATGCTGGCAGACATAACCAACCCTGTGAATGGTGAGTAAACAGAGAGAAAAGGAAATGTATAAGGAAAATGTTTGGAAGCAAAGCAATGTATGTCCATCTCATCATATAGATAATTCAACATTCAATAATAGAGTATATCACTATGAAATAGCTGAGGCAAATGCAGAACTATTACTCCTTTCAATCATCATTCCATCAATGTCAGTTTTCCAGACTTATTTTCTTTTTGCTATGCAAGTACAGTACATGTAACCAATATTTATAGTGTGTGTCCACTAAAGTTGAACAAATCAAGCTGGAGTCCCATGTCAACTAAACTACTTTTTCTATATATTTTTTATAGCTCTTGGAGTTCAAATAAAAGAAAAATATTTAATTTGAACTTGAATGTTGGAAGAAGCACCAATGTCACATGGACACATCTAGTAAACAAGAGGCCCATGGGCCACATCGCTCACCTGAGTAACTTTGGCCATGCTGTTCTTAACCAGATTTCCCCCCTTTTAATATACCTATTGTGGCCCCGCCCTACCCCCGGGGGTCATGATTTGAACAATTTAGAATCTGCACTATCCCAGGATGCTTCCACATAAGTTTCAGCTTTTCTGGCCCAGTGGTTCTTGAGAAGAAGATTTTTTAAGATTTTTCCTATATATTTCAATGTAAAACTTGGATTCCCTATTGTGGCCCTGCCCTACCCCCGGGGTCATGATTTTTACAATTTAGAATCTACACTATCCCAGGATGCTTCCACATAAGTTTCAGCTTTTCTGGCCCAGTGGTTCTTGAGAAGAAGATTTTTAAAGATTTTTCCTATATATTTCAATGTAAAACTTGGAGTCCCTATTGTGGCCCCGTCCTACCCCCAGGGGTCATAATTTGAATAATATAGATTCTACCCTACCCCAGTATGCTTCCATATAAGTTTCAGTATTTCTAGCCCAGTGGTTCTTGAGAAGAAGATTTTTAAAGATTTTTCTTATATATTTCAATGTAAAACTTGGATTCCCTATTGTGGCCCCGCCCTACCCCCGGGGGTCATGATTTGAACAATTTAGAATCTGCACTATCCCAGGATGCTTCCACATAAGTTTCAGCTTTTCTGGCCCAGTGGTTCTTGAGAAGAAGATTTTTTAAGATTTTTCCTATATATTTCAATGTAAAACTTGGATTCCCTATTGTGGCCCTGCCCTACCCCCGGGGTCATGATTTTTACAATTTAGAATCTACACTATCCCAGGATGCTTCCACATAAGTTTCAGCTTTTCTGGCCCAGTGGTTCTTGAGAAGAAGATTTTTAAAGATTTTTCCTATATATTTCAATGTAAAACTTGGAGTCCCTATTGTGGCCCCGTCCTACCCCCAGGGGTCATAATTTGAATAATATAGATTCTACCCTACCCCAGTATGCTTCCATATAAGTTTCAGTATTTCTAGCCCAGTGGTTCTTGAGAAGAAGATTTTTAAAGATTTTTCTTATATATTTCAATGTAAAACTTGGATTCCCTATTGTGGCCCCGCCCTACCCCCGGGGGTCATGATTTTAACAATTTAGAATCTACACTACCTCAGGATGCTTCCATATAAGTTTCAGCTTTTCTGGCCCAGTGGTTCTTGAGAAGAAGATTTTTTAACGACCCCACCCTATTTTTGTCTTTTCTTGATTATCTCCCCTTGTAAGGGGACTTGGCCCTTTATTTTAACAATTTACACTCCCCTTCACCCAAGGATACTTTGTACCAAATTTGGTTAAAATTGGCCCAGTGGTTCTTGAGAAGAAGTTGAAAATGTGAAAAGTTTACAGATGGACGGACAGACGGACGGATAGACAGACAGATGGACGACGGACAATGGGTGATCAGAAAAGCTCACCTGAGCTTTCAGCTCAGGTGAGCTAAAAATATGTACATTGAAAATGTTGTATGAACAGTGAAAAACTTTAAGTATATACATGTATGTATTTCACATACAGAATTATAGTTTATTATAACTTGCCTCCATTTTGAGTTGATCTGTGTAAATCTAGTGACACCTGTCTGAGCAGCTGCTACATCAATGTGAAGATTGATGGCTACAAATTACAGAAATAAAATGATTAAGATGATTAACTTTTACTAAGATTCATTAATTACAAAATGCGAAGTTTGAAAATTGATGACAACTTTCAATTTTTGACAAAGAAATTTAAATTCAAAGGCTGAAGATAGGATAAGGACTGAAAAGCCAAACTCAAACAAAATAAAATTGAGGGATTTTCCATATCATGTTGGGAATGGGGAATTTTACGAAGATTTATCAAAAATTGGGAATTTTTTATGTACTATTGTTAGACTAAATTTCAAGAAGTGAGTCAGAATAAAGTTTATTACCAAAACAATTTTTTTGAAATTGAACCATTCTGTTCTTTTGAGTAAGAAAAATTGTCATTTACATATTGTTTGTTGTGAATTCCATTCCCGTACTTTTGTAAGAATTCTGATCCCAGTCGAATTTTAAACGTAAATAATTTAGGGAAAAATTGAGGTGGAAATTTGAGAAAAAATGGAGGGTTTTGCAATTGGGAATGGGGTCGAATTCGGCCCTACATGGGGCAGTGGAAAATCCATGAAGTTACAGACATAAATCATACACTACAAGAACAATTTATTACCTATATATGGCTTTTCCAACTGATGAAGTTTCTGCATGGCCTGTCCCCCTGGGTAATTCTGGTGAGAGACAAACAGAAATACTGTGGTACATGTGATGTTTCCTATAATGTGGCACACAGCAGCTAGAGCCACCAGTTTCTTGAAGCAGGACTTGGAACTATTAGCCAACCTGTGGAAGGTCACAACTCATGTACACGTAATACAAAAGAAAGGTGAAGACAAAATCTGACTAAGTGTTCTATCAATGAACAGTTTTACTCACATTTTAGAAACTGCAGATGCCGCCACAACATTGAAGATAGGTATCACATAAATGATAAAGCGTAACTCCTTATGAGGCAGATTGGAGTATAACAATACATAACCAATGGCAGGAATAAGGAGAGGTCGAAGGTGAGGGTTCAAGGTTATTCCTAAGGGAACTAAAAAGAAACTCATGGACAGGGCCCTAGGCAGGGCAGATGTGAAATACCACATAAAGGGCTCTGTCTGTTAGTAGTTAAGGATCATTTTGAAAGAGAAATTGAAATTATTATCTTAAATATATTTCAGCTCATAAAATGTAACTGTTCACTAAAATTCAACAGTGTGCTGGTGCATCTAAATGAATTATGTATCCTAATTTTGACATTTAAAAAACCAACAATCTAGTTTACCTGAGATTTTTCTCTAAGAGGATATGTAACATGTATGTTTATATTCTGTCATGCTTTATTTTCAGATGTTGGCTTCTACTGTAAATTCCTTATTTTACGCGAGTACTTAATATCGCGAAAGGGCTCTTAGACGCCAAATTGCGAGAACAATAATTCGCGAATGGACGGTTTACAATGAGATTTAACATTAATTTCAACACCATAATAATAAAAGCGTGTAATTATTTTTGTGAGTGGTGCTCCTCGCGTAATTACGCGTTAATTAATTCCTTACGTATATTTAGGAATCTACAGTATATAAAAATATCAGATGACTTTTCTATCATTTGTGGAACATATGTGGATAATCAAGGATACACCCCATTGAGAGCTTTTGTTCTCTACTGTATTGAACCATAAGACTTCTCCCTCTGGCCACAACCAGCGTCTCCAGAAAAAACTATCCACCAGGACTGTAAGACCTGATAAGAAAAACTATAGTAATGAAAATAGTTGGGGACAACATTAAATAGAGTAAAAGGCAGCAAGCCTCTACAAAAGGTTAAAAAAAATCTGAAAATTCCAAAAATATTATACATGCAAATGAATGTATTTAACTTTGATCTTAAGAAAGGATTTTTGCATATAATCAGTCAATCACAAATTTTGCTAAAATCTAATAATCAAGTATGAAAACCATCAATTCATCAAAATTTTTACAATCAAAAATTATATATCAAATTTCATATGACAACATTGTGTGTCCAAAAGTTTTACTGATAAAGTTACTGCCATTAATTTAAATGTACAATTTATAGTATGAATTATCTATATGAATAGTGCTGTACTCACTAAGTAGGAGGATTCCAGCTGGAATAACATGCTTTAAAAAATCAGTAAAGCTCAGCCTCTTGGAGAAAAGTTCTGCTGCCAGAATTAGTCCCAGAAATACAGCTAGCTCTGATCGGAATATAATAATGGCTGCCCCAGATATCCATAGAAACTGTCCATGGTTCTGTCTTATCCAGGCCGCTAATGCAAACAACACTGTAATGATTACGGCACAGTAAAGTCGCATGATTTATAAGTGAATATAATTCTTCAGCAGCACATGAAACACTTATCTTATCTGGCCTTCAATCATCTTCAAACAGGTAACAAAAAAAAGTTAGATCCATATTTATCTTGAATCTCACTCAAATGTTTTAATCATGTGGAAAGTATATTTTTATGCAGTTTTCATAATTAGCATCTGGTTTAAAAAAAAAACAACAAAAACAAAGTGGATTTCTTTATCATCATTTGACTGCCTATTCCATCTGATAGCTTCTGTATTTGATTTGTCAATATTCATAGATGTAATTTCTATGAACAATGATGAACTGAAAATGAGAAAACATCTACATGTACATGTATTTTACCTAATACAAGAGCAAATGTGTTGGGTAGTGGTCTTGACATATAGAACATAAAATGGAACTGTGTTGCTGTTATAATAAACATCCATCTCTTGACACCAGGACCAAAGCGGAACTTGATGGCATTACCAAAAGCAGAGAGCGCTGCCAGAACATAAAGTCCTAATGCAATTCTTACTGAAATATAAGACTTTGAAATTTGTCTGAGTAAAGTGACAAATTTTCTCTCAATCTATGACATACATTGAATGAAATAAAGTGCTCTTAGTATTTACTTAATAATCTAGGAAGAATGGATGCATTGATACATCTACATTATGGAATTTCAGGTATAATTATTTACTTAATAAATCTGAACTTGTTTGGAAAGACTTCATAAACAGATGTTTTATTATTTACTTAATAAATCTGAACTTGTTTGGAAAGACTTCATAAACAGATATTTTATGATGTAACATCCTGTAAAATCACATATTATTTTCGTGGGGTCAAATTTTCGTGGTTTGAGGAAAAACTATGGGTTCATGGGTATTTGATTTCGTGGATGAAGCATTGTTGAGTAGTTATGTATATAACATTTTACATTTGGTGGTGAACTTGATTTCGTGGGTCTCTTCATACCTCGAAAACAACGAAAATTAAACCCCCATGAAAATTTGTGACTTAACAGTACTTCTCAAATCTGACTCAAGGTGTTATTAGAATGAAAATACCCCTGGATTGAAGTGCTCTTTAGTTTGTCTATTCAACTCAGTAATAGTTAATTTTTCATACCTAAATATTGTGATATAAATTTGGAGAGCTTCAGACACTGACAGAGGAACACTGCTGGATATGTTGTCACAGCTAGAGCAAGGGGGCCAAGAAAGGTTCTGGGAACCACACCGGGAAATTCTAAATGGTCATACTGAAAAAGAGTACAGTCAATACTTTATCAACAGTCTAATGCTAAGCTAGATTTTGTACAGTTATAATCTTGGATTGAACTAATAAATGATTTTTTTAAAAAAAAAAACTTTAATAAATCTTTCCTGGTTTTTATCGTGGTGATTTTCCTTGATCTCTCTGAAAGCCTTCAACACATTTTTTTTTTTGATTATACAAAACACCACTTCCTGAGATGAAGAAATCTGACTTCTATAACCAACACACACACATGTAACAGTTTGTACGGGATTGGCAGAGTTTACCTGATTAATGTTGATGCCATGATATAGTATGTCATGAGCTGCCTGTATGTTAAAACTCTCCTCTACTTTAGTGAATGGACAGACAACAATGTGTAGAAGCATGACAGCCCCTGCCAGGGACTCCACTGATGGCCATCGCATGTTTCTCAACCCTAAAATATTTGGTATTTTAGATTGAATGCTGTTATTTACAGGTGTGTTAATAATTATTACAGTAATGCATCTTAATTTTTTTTCTTATAATCATTAATTGGTACAACAACTATCTGTATACACATGTACTATATCACAGATTTTCTTTTGTTTATACACAGGTCTGGCACAATCTCTTGATTTATCTTAAAGCAATTTATAGCAATATCATGGTCATCTGGTTATCAAGTTTTTAAAAATTGCTTTTTTAAACTACCGATCAAATTCTTTTTTCCTTAGCTGTATTTTATTCAAAATGTACCACAAAAAAATATTTTGGCAACTGATTAGCTCTATAAATTTAGCTATCACAGGAATTAATGCAAAAAAAAGGTAGACTTTCAAAATGTCCTTTACATAGCATTTATTGTTAAAACTGAGGGCAATATACAGTTTAACTGCTATCTACCATACTATATATGATATATTTTTTAACAGTTAAGCCAGGGACCTATATACTAATAGTATATAGGTCCCTGGTTAAGCCAAGGAGTGCCTTTGGCTATGTACATGTATATAGCCATTAAGCATTTTGACCCAGACCTTAATTTACTTCAGGAATGAAAATATAACAAGAGGCCCAATGGCCTTAACGGTCACCTGAGTACAATACAACAATTTAGAGGATCCATAAACTGATAAATGAAGCTTTAAATGTTGCCCAAAAGCAAGAAAAATAGTATGATAAGCATCAACAGAATAATTGGTATAGCATCTATCTGTCCCCCTTTTAACACTATTACCATGCAGACTATTAACAAAATGTCTATTATTAATCCCAAATTACTACTTCTCACATTGGTCTCTGATAAAAATACCCTTGCATACTAAAACTTTTACTCTGTTTGCCTCAAATATGCCCAGAAGCATAGAAGATTTTCAAAGAAATGCATGTTCACTATATAATTAAATAAATAAAGCCCCCCCTCCCCCCCTTACACCAGAACATCTTACCCAGGAGCCATGAACTCACAATTCTGGAAGAAGAACTTTGCTTTATTACCAGTAGTACAAAAAATATTTTGAAAGAAATTATGCATTTTCACTATAAAATCAATAGAGCCCCCCCCCCCTTTCACCAGAACCCTGACCCAGGGGCCATGATTTTCACAATTTTGGAAGAGGCATTCTTCCTTATCATAACCATGCACTTTCTTTATTTGAATAATACCCAGGAGCAGAGAAGAAGATTTTGAAAGAATTTATGCATTTTCCCTATATAATCAATTGAGCCCCACCCTGACAGCAGAACCCTTCACCCAGGGGCCACGAAATTCACAATTTCTGAGGAGGCAGCCATGCTCATCATAACTATGTACTTAGTTAATTAAATATCCAGGAGAGAGAAGATTTTCAAAGAAATAATGCATTTTCACTTTATATATATATATCAATTGAGCCCCACCCTGACACCAACACCCCGACCCAGGGGCCATGAAATTCACAATTTTGGAAGAGGAAACCATGCTCATCATAACTATGCACTAAGTTAGTTTATTTAATACTCAAGAACAGAGAAGAAGATTTTCAAAGAATTTAAAATGCAAATAATCAATAGAGCCCCACTCTAACACCTGAACTCCTGACCCTGGGGCCATGAAATTCACAATTTCTGAAAAGGCAGCCATGCTCATCTTATCTATGTTCTTAGTTAGTTTATTTCATACCCAGGAGCAGAAAAGAAGATTTTCAAAGAATTAATGTATTTTCACTATATAATCAATAGAGCCCCACCCTAACACCAGAACCCCTGACCCTGTAACTGTACATACATGTATATATTTAAAACATGTATACATACATTTGGAAAGAAATTGTTTGACCTCTGGCACACACACAAACTAAATAAACAAATTGTGGTAGACATTGGTACATGTGGTGTATTTTTAAGAATCTAAAAGTGATTTTACAAAAACTTATCTAAAGACCACAATGATACAGCAGGTCTACCATCTAGCACAATCTCTTGATTTAGCTATAATAATTAATAGATGTACTTTGGAGCTTAATTGAATTAGCTTTATATAGCTTTATTAAGCTTTCAAAATAACTTGACAGTGCTATTTCAAAACAGTTTTTAAGAAATATTTGTTTTTATTTTTATAAGAAATAGACAAAAAGTCACAAGTATGTGACAACTCAAATTTGTACAATGAACTATTTAAAAAAACAATTCCAAATCAGTAGGGACATAGTGAATTAAACGGGAAAATAGTGCTCGCATGATTTAGATGACATAGTTTTGTTTAATATTTGCCATGTTGTTTTCCAAATTTTGCAACTCAACTGCCCAAAAATATATATTAAAGGCAGGCATAAGACATCTGTTATCTAATGACACAGGGTCATTCTAGTCTGGGGCAAAACAAATTGTGCTGAATTCTCTTGTTGACCATGCATAACTGACCTTAATTTAAAAATTCATTCATTGACAAGACATAACTATTTACTGTGTGGTCACAAAGCTTTATATAGCTCCAAGAAGTTTAGAATTTGGAGAACAAAAGTTTCTAAAGGAGACCTTATTTAATGAGTGATTTTTTCATGTATTGTTTTCAGAAGAGTTCAAAGCTGAAAAATGTCACTGCACTTAAATTAAGTGCAACTTTTTTACTTGCTGTGAAAATTGCATATTTAAGAAAAAATTATATTAAAAATAGCTAATATTGTGAATAGCTTAATCGAGCCGTATAGCTAATTTAAGCTATATAGCTAATTAGCTATATAGCTAAATCAAGAGATTATGCCGGGTTTGACAGAGAAAATTAGGGCCTAGGCCTAGAACGAGTTGACCCTGCTAAATGATAAAATCTAGTAAATGGTGCTTTGAATGAAAAACAGCGATAAATAAACATTTTCAAAATAAATTAAAAATGCTTACTATGTAAGACAAATTCTTTTAAATCACCATACCAAGGAAACAAGCAAGACATAGCACATTTTTGGCATGATATCGACCACAGCAACAGGTAAATTGACTTCCGGTTGTGTACACAAATTTTGTGACGTTTTACACAAGTGCCTTCGTGGACTTCGAAAATAAAGTGGTTGTAGCAGCAATATTTTTGACAAATAACCCTAGACTACATTATGACACGTATGTTTGTTAATGCAATGTAATATCTGAAAGGCAAAACAAGTAACAAGCAGATGCGCTATGTATGAAAATAATTTTTCTTGAATATTTCGAAATAAACAGACTCAGAAAAGTGGAGTGAAATGTGTAACAAAATGACTGAGTGTTGATTGAGTGAAAGTGTTTCAGGTAAGTAAACTTATTATTGTAATAAATCGACGTTAACAAGGAGATGTATTGTTCTTTTTTTTTTAATAAAGTTATACCATTATTGATTACTTCAACTTAAGCTGTCAACATTCATTTGCTTTATAAATGTGCATCTTCCAACATGTGCAACCTATTGCATCATGTGCATTTGGCACCCTTCATTTTTGCACAGTTATTATCAGGGACCTATAGTATATAGGTTTCTGTTATTATTTCTTGGATCATTTTTTTTTTCCAATTTTTTCTTGACTGACCTCTTTACAATGCTCCTGAAGCCTCTCCAGTTCTCACTGTCTTTGGGTGGGTGGGAGTAGAAGAAGGAGGGATCTATGTGTGAGTACTTGTTTTATAAAGAATGTTGGGGGAAGGAACCATTTTTTATATAAATATATACAGACATGCCAATCAATCCTTTTCTGTAAATTATTAAATTATGATAATAAAAGAATGTATTCATATTTTCAAAAGAACCAGCTTTTAGGGGAGAACAATTTCCCGGAAAAAGTCACATTTCCAAATCAGTGTTTATTAGTTATTTTCTACCATATGTATATTTAAATGTTTAAAATTTGCATTTGAACCCAAAATTTATTATTTGCATGGCAATTTTAAATTGCAACCCGTAAAGTTGGGTGAAACAATATTTTCCCCATTAAAGCACTATTTGTTTGCATGAATTTAGCATAGAAGTCATTTAGGACAGGCCTGCCCCAAAATAAAACTATGAAATTTTGATACTATGTGCTCTTAGAAATAATTAAAAATAGGATTTTTGGAGGCACCCCTGCCCTTGTGCGAAGCTCAGAATGTGACAACAATAATTATAAAGGTACATAGTTAAAGTCAGTGAAAAGGTTCACAAATGTAGAGAATGAAAAAAAAAAATAAATAAAAGAAAAATAATTAAAAATAAAAACAAAACATGCAAAATAAGCTAAATATGTTTAATTTTCATTTTTGACTAAACCACTTGTGGTATTAACCTAACAAACGTACAGCACAAACAACGTGTTTCAATGTACAGTTTTATGTAGATCAGGTGTACACATGCGTCTCCCAATCTTTTATTTGTAAATTAAATTTTAGCCAAATGAAAATATTCAACTATGATTAAAGATCATCTTTAATATCCATTGTGTTTTTAAGACAGAACAGAAGCTTAAAATATTTTTCTTTAGCATGGATTAAGATGATTGTACAGTTCAGAGAAATTTTGTCAAAACTATTACATGTATATTCCTTTTATTTTATTTGCAGTTGTTTGAAGAATGGGCAACTATGAAACTCATGATTTGGCCCCAGTTAGAGATGATGAAAGAAAAGAGTTGAATCTGAGTAGAAAAATAACATACAAACAGTATTGCAAGGTAAATACTTAACAAGAAAACATTAAGTAAAAATTAAAGCAGCAGTATATTTACGCTCAAGATCTAGTAAATGAAAGGTGCCTACAGATTTCTCGAATTTGAGAAACAAGTTCTTTTAATGATCCTTTACAAATATAGCTTCCCAGTTGGTAAAAAAGATGTTTGTGGACTTAATTTTAGGGTAAACTCAATGTAAAAACATATTTTAAACTGTCATTTTCAATGAAAAATGAAGAAAGTCAGGTATAAATTTCTGGGTTTTTTTCCATCTCAGAAAAAGAAAATGTATCAATATTGCCTACAGTCTCAGAAAATGTTTTTTTCATATCTTCTTGACCTTTACTTTAAAAAGATATTAAATTGAAATTAGGTATTGGGGTTACTTTTGACATTATTTCATTGACAAATTGAATTCAATGAAAATGCTTCATTTTCTACATTATTCTATTAAAGCAGTAAATTGCGTGAAAAATTAAGTTTAAATCAATTAATTATGACATCATAATAGATCTAACATGAAAAAGACAATCTAAACTCATTTACTAGATCTTGACCTTAAGAAATGAATTAAATTTTTGAAAATTCATGAAGACTTGAACTATATGACACTTCATGCCAGCATTTTTCATATGAAGTGCATTAGCGCTTCATGATAAATATCCTGGCATGAAGCGTTGTAGTTGATGTTCCTCATGAATTTTCAAACATTTAATTCATATATTTACATTATTTATCTGAAGAGTTGCTAAAAATTATGCCATTCAGCTGTCATTTTTAAAGCAAAACAGTTTGTACTATAGTTTTGACATCCAGTACAGTATTATATGTATGACGTAACAGTAGAGATATTATTACTTATCCATGATAGTTCAGGAGAAAATGAACTGATTTCTAATTTGTAAAGAGTCTTAAGGTCTAAATAGATAGAATTGGTACAAGCCAAATATTTTTTCAAAGTTTTAATTTTATGAATTCATTTTAATTATGGTAAGTGAACTTAATTTATCAACATGATCAACAACTAGAAATCTACATGTATAAAAAAAATATCAAGATGGAACATGTTAGTTTCTTAGTTTGTTGTTTTAGACTTAATTAATCTCTGAAAAAAATTAATTTTTTAAAAGGAACATTAAAATGACTAGTTATAATTTGTTATTTACATTTCATCAGTCAAAAATCATGCATTATACTTGTTATAACACAGATTGATTGATACAGTTTAAAAATTATTTTCCAATGAAGCATATTAAGGGGATTTTCCATGAGGGCTGCTTGACCGAGATTCCTTGGAACATCAGGGACTCCATTTCTCTTTATGAGCGGATGACAGTTGCCTTCAATGCGGTCCCTGAGATCCCCCCAGAAATGCCCCTCAGGCTTCCTCACCTGCACACCATTGATCTTAGTCACAATGTATTGGAAACATTACCTGAGAGCTTCGGCTTGCAATTTCATCTCCGAACTTTGATCCTACGCAACAATAGACTGAAATCTCTACCAGAGTCTTTTGTTCATCTAGTCAAACTAGAAAAAATAGATTTATCTAACAATTTGCTCAAGGAATTACCCCAGGATATTGGAAATATGGAAGCTATTCAGAAACTTAATGTGAGTGGCAATAAGCTTCGACAACTTCCCCTGTCTCTTGGTGCTTCTACAACTCTAGTCTTACTAATGGCTCAACAAAATCGACTTTATGAACCTCCGCAAGCAATCTGTGATGAAGGGTCGGACGTGACCTTAAGTTTTTTACGCAAGCTTTACAAAAACAGTAAACCACTTCATGAGAAAAGACCTTTGACTCCACTGAACGAGTTTCCTCGAGTCAGAGGTAACCAGTTACACAGTGCGGTCCCTAACCCTCACTCTGCCAACATGCAATACATCCAGTCTCAGACACATACAACAAACACCCCCAGTAGGATCAAAACTCCCCTCCTTCCACCTTTAGGGGCCAGCTCTTTGGAATCAGATGTTCTGAAAGATAAAGTTATAGGTTTGTAACATATTGGACTTTAAGATATTATACTGTATAAAGTTGCATCTGCTATATCATAACATTGGCTTAATTAATTCGGACTGCAATATTTAAAATTTGATTGATTAATTTAAGAAAAGTAATGCCCATTCTGAAGAAGAAAATGATTTTTTTTTTCAGGTTTGATAATTGTTTTTATCTCAAAAAATGTTGTTTTCTTTTTAAAGTTATTTAATTGTACTTTTGATATAGAATTTTCTTCATGAATAACTCTCAACAAAAATCTTGTTTCTATAGGATTGCTGTATGGTGCTGCTATTGGTGATGCCCTGGGGCTTGCCACTCGAGGAATGAGTAGAGATGAGTGCTCATTTTACTACGACACAGACGACATTGATTATACACAGATTTTACAAGACAGACAGCGCGTTCTGTGGCGAGCTGGAGACTGGACGTCAAACTTTGATTCCATGGTAACAATAACTGTCACTATAAAAAATTCGGTATTGATCTACAATATTAGCCATCTTAAAAATATCAATGGAATAAATTTAAAGTAACAGTGGAGAAATGCTCAAAATAAGTAAATGTTCATTGTATTTTAGCTTGCCAGTGGAAATTTAATTTCATATTTTAATATTTCCATACATACATGCATACATGTTTTTTATTGATAAATTATGCAATATAAGTATCTTTCTCTGTGCATTAATAGATTGTTATTCTTAGGCTTTTTGACAACATAACATACTAGATATACATTAACAAGCCCCATCTCTGATTTTAATAATTCAATTCATCTTTTCAGTTACTGGTGCTGGACTCCATCCTGGCTTGGGCAGGTGTGGTGGATGAACTGGACTTTGCCAAGCGATTGAAGGAATGGAGTGAGCGAGGGTACCCTGAGCTGGGGGACACAGAGGGGATAGTACTCAGTCAAACCATTAAAAAAGTGAGAGGAATAATTAGTGGTGTTCCAATCATCGATTATAATCGAAAATCAGTCGATTGCTGGCGTAATCCAAGCGCTCGATTACAAAATTTTTATTCTGATTAATCGGGTTATTTTTTTTTTTTTTTACGAGCGTAATTAGTTTTTAAGCCAAATATTCCAGCCGTGACTTTTCTATTAACTTATTTGTGTATCGTAATGGCGCAGATGATGAGACATTGTATTCATACTCGAGTAACAACGCTCATTCCGGGGTATGGGCGTACTTTGGATTCTACAAAATGAACGTAGAACCAGCTTGACTAGATAGAACATTCTATAGTTCAAATGATATTGTCCTAAGGACTAGGGGTTGTCCCGAGACACAGTTAGATTATTCTAACTACAGCTGGACCACCACAGAAAGTAGTTATTCAACCATTCTTACCATTTTATAAACTAAATTGAAGGACTTTGTAAATGTCCGATTATAATTGATAATTAGTTAGTTACAGTAGCCTGATCATCGATTTTAAAATTTTTACTGATTCCCATCACTAGGAATAATGACTATAAACTGATAAAGGAAAGAGAAATACATGTACATGCAGTATAAACTTGCAAAGGAAAGAATTTTTGTATGACAGTTTTTTCCATGAAAATTATTTACTGTGGTTATTACCATGAAATTTAAGGATATTTAAAAATCTATTCAAAGCTTTAAGAAATTTTAAGTGACTGTGATATGCAGTTACATGTGCAGACAACTAGAGGAATATGTACTTAATTGAGTAATCTGTATAATTAATGATTCTGATGTACCTTGTGTAGGCTGTTGTTCTTTATTTCTTTTCTGGTTTGTTTTTATTATGAAATTTAAAAAGAATGTTTAGTTTGTCTATGTAATATATGTGTTTAATCTATTTGGCCTCTGTATGATGATTATTATGAAGAATTTGAAACATTTTTTAGTTAATTGGTGAGAAAGACTTCACAGAAAATCCTCACTCAGTGGCAACCAGAGTTTACCTCCAAGAGCTGAACACTACAGCATCAGAACAGAATGGCTACATTGTAAGTGAGGATGAGAGGTCCAGCATAAGCAGTATATCTAGTAGCATCAGCAGTATAAGCAGTGATCGCAGTCCTCGCAAGCATCTACTACACAGTGTCAGCTCAGAGTCAGAGTTCTGTGTGGGATGTGATCAGCCCTGTGTGGATAATGGAGCAATTGTCAGGACTGCCATTCTTGGTAACAAAACATTTTGACAATCAGCTTGTATTTAGTTTGACAACAATATGCTGATACAGTTTATATTTAAAATACTTATTTGAAATTTTTTGGGGGCATTTGAAGAAAAACAGACTGTTTTTGAATTAATAATTTATTTCTTCTAAAATGTTTTGCAAAAATATTTACATAATTTTGCAAATTTTTTGTCAATTAATAAACAAACAAGTACAACTTGTAATCTTGGTTAAATTACTTCCGTAACTGCATGGCATGTCATGTGACCCCCGAACATTTTTTCTGGTATTTATGTCCCAGTGGAAACCTCTTAAGAAGAAGGTATCTTATGTGAACACATTCTTTAGATTGGGTTTTTCCCTGACAGGTGTTCCTAATTTCTTTGATTTGACTGAGGTACAGAACAATACACTGAGGATCTGTAATTCCACCCACCCAAGTCCTCTGTCTCAGGCTGCATGCTGTGTCATATCTGTCATCATCGCCTGTATGTTACAGGTACAAAAAGATGTTTCATTACAATAATTATAAAAAAAAAAAGCCAATAAAATAAAGGAGGCTTACCGTGTGGAAATAAACATGATTTTTTTAAAAAATGTACAATGATTGTTATATGCTCAGTGAACCCCAAATAAGAATCCAGTTTTGTCATTTTTTTTTTTTTACATACATGTCCATGTTATTTTTATCCCAAAATCATTATCAATATTTAGCATGAAGAATCATATTTTTGTCATTTTACTGTTGTGGAGCAGCGATTATGATCGCTCCATGGTTTTGAAAAACACCAGCTCACCTCTTCATCCAAAATTATTGTGAAAACAATCTATATCAGGACCTTTTGCATCAAAATTAAAAGTATTATCAAACCATTGTACAGGGAAAGAATGAAATGCAGACCTGTAAAGAAATTGAGGAAATCATTACAATAGCTCGAGATCAAGGGAGAAAACTCCTGGTGACCACTGAGGAGAAGGCCGATTTTGAATACTACTGCAGTTTACAGGACATAGACAGGTAAAGCTGTTGTAGTTTACAGGACATAGACAGGTAAAGGTGATTTTGAATGCTTCTGTAGTTTACAGGATCTAGCTATAGACAGGTAAAGGGGGATTTTAAATAGTACTGTCATTTACAGGACTTAGACAGGTAAAGGTGATTTTGAGTACTAAATGTACTGTAGTTTACAGGACCTAGACCAGTAAAAGTGCTTTTGAGCATGACTGTAGTCTACAGGAGCTGGAATCATGTAGGTAAATATGATTTTGAGTACTACTGTAGTTTACAGGAACTAGACAGGGGTAAAGGTGATTTTGAGTGCTACTGTAGTTTACAGCTAAAGATGATTTTAAGTACTCCTGTAGTTTACAGGTAAATGCTGATTCCTTAGCACTTTCTACTGTAGTTTACAGGAACTAGACATGTAAAGGTGATTTTGTAAACTATTGCACAATGTCTAGTATTGTCTACAATATTATTGTTGACAAGATACAATGCAAGTGCCATTCTACACAATCAGCCTGATCCACAAATGATCGGGCATGCAGATGATTCCACATCAATACATGAATAAATAAATAAAATGGCATGATTCTGCATTATTCATGAAAAATGGTTAAAAGTATTTAGGAATGTCTCTTTCCAAAATGTAACAAAATATGAATATTTATTTGAAAAAATAATAATTTCACAATTTCACAATTTTATTGTACATTTATGTGTAAAACAATAAAAACATTATGTCTGTGAGTTCAAGAAACAATTTTTTGAGAACATACGCATTTATAGTAGAGCATGCTCTGAGTGCGATAAATTTTTAAACCGAGGCAAACTACTGACAATTAAGTTGATGTTACAGAGATTTCAACAGCCTCATTTAAAGAAGAGCATTTCAAAAATTCTCTGGTCCTTATAATGACCTTGTTTGCAAATACATCCTATCATTGGATCATATCTTGTTTCATATAAATTGAGGCCATTGTTTTTATCCTAAATTTTACTACTGATTATTCTGTCTACCTGAATGATACTTAAGGATCACAGCAGATTTGACCAGTCAACAAGGCATGTTTATTCCTCCTAGGCATCTAATACGACCTCTAGAATTTCTAAGGGTCCGTGTTTTATATCCTCTTCAAAAATTTGTATTGTTTTAAAGATTTTTGAGATCAAACATTTTTTTGATTGTTATCTTCATTTTTTTTTGATACAGTACAAAAAAGAATATTCAGGTTATATTCATATACATTTATGTCCATGTTATGTACACATATGTTTACTCTATATATTTCAGGTTAGATGTGAATGAGTATGGAAAGTCCTCCTACTGTATGAAGCCTCTGGGGGCAGCTCTTATCAGTCTTAGGTCTAGGGAATCCTTTAAGTAAGTGGGACCTTACTTTTAGTGTACTCTTAAAATGGAATTCAAAGTGTATCTACATGTATGTAGTACTGTTCATAATTGTAAATCTGTACGTATTTTTACTTACAGAATTTTTTTAAAGTTCTGTTTTGTAAGGAAGTGCTTACTCCACCGTGATTCTATCTCTGATTTTTCAGAGGTCCCTGATTGCTCTGCTCTCAGTTTGTGTTTGAATGTTTATTTGGACTCTTGAGCATCATATTATGTTACCTTCATGTTTCTTTAATAATCTTTTATTGACAATTACAAACTTTAATTAAAATATTAGTGTTACAAGTTAGAATAAACAAGTAAAAAAGATGCTTGTGCTAAACTATGAGGTAGTGAATCCCAGTTAGGCCGGAACTGCCAAAATCTACAGAGCTGGGTGTAATCTAAAAATGAAGTTAACAGCACAGTCAGAACAGGTAGAATCAGCAGATAATCATTTTGTTACTTTTTTTCAACAGAGATTGCATGATGAAGATGATCCTGGCTGCAGGAGATTCCAACAGCAATTGTTGTGTGGCTGGGGCCGTCTTGGGCTCAAAGGTGGGATTCTCTCGCTTACCAAAACACTGGGTCCATGGACTTAGAAAGAAACAGACTGCTTGGCTCAATGTCAAGGTCAATCTACTTCTAGACATGATAGGACTTCCTTAACCATGAAAGGGACATAACCTTGTATTTGCTTTATATTACCTTCCATGACACAAGTTTTGCTTTTCCATGAAAGAGAGTTTTCTTATTGATTTTGATTGTATGACATGTAAAAAACTTGAGGGATTATTTACCCTGAGTTTGATCAAAAGTCTTTGACCATGGTTTTGCAAGGGTCACATTTATCTAGTTTAGTTTATAATAAGGCTATATTAGCCTTTACTTTACAGAGGTTTAAAACAATTTTCTTTCGTGCATGACAGGACATTCTGGAACTATTCCTCAAGGTCATGACCACACGTTTTCTAAATATTACCTGGCTCTTACAGAGTTGTCCCTAAGACCCTGCGGGGGCTAGGAAATTTCCCCACTTATAATGACATTATCCCCCGGCTTCTCTGGTATTCCCCCTCAACCCCTTGTTTGGGGAGGAACCCCAGACCCCCCTTCTACTTTTTAGCTCACCTGAGCTGAAAGCTCAAGTGAGCTTTTCTGATCACATTTTGTCCGGCGTCCGTCTGTCCGTTCGTCTGTCTGTCTGTAAACTTTTCACATTTTCGACTTCTTCCCAAGAACCACTGGGCCAATTTCAACCAAACTTGCCACAAAGTATCCTTGGGTAAAGGGGATTCAAGTTTGTTCAAATGAAGGGCCACGCCCTCTTTCAAAGGAAGATAATTAGGAATTACTGAAAAAAATTATGGCATCATTTAAAAATCTTCTTCTCAAGAACCATAGGGCCAGGAAAGATGAAACTCATGTGGAAGCATCCTTAGGTAGTGTAGATTCAAATTTGTTCAAATTATGACCCCCGGGGGTAGGGCGGGGCCACAATGGAGGATCAAAGTTTTACATAGAAATATATAGGAAAGATCTTTAAAAATCTTCTTCTCAAGAACAGCAAAGCCATGATGAGTCATATTTATATGGAAGCATCCTCAGGTAGTATAGATTCAAGTTTGTTCAAATCATGACCCCCGGGGGTAGGGCGGGGCCACAATGGAGGATCAAAGTTTTACATAGAAATATATAGGAAAAATCTTTAAAAATCTTCTTCTCAAGAACAGCAAAGCCATGATGAGTCATATTTATATGGAAGCATCCTCACGTAGTGTAGATTCAAGTTTGTTCAAATCATGACCCCTGGGGGTAGGGCGGGGCCACAATGGAGGATCAAAGTTTTACATAGAAATATATAGGAAAAATCTTTAAAAATCTTCTTCTCAAGAACAGCAAAGCCATGATAAGTCATATTTATATGGAAGCATCCTCAGGTAGTGTAGATTCAAATTTGTTCAAATCATGACCCCCGGGGGTAGGGCGGGGCCACAATGGAGGATCAAAGCTTTACATAGAAATATATAGGAAAAATCTTTAAAAATCTTCTTCTCAAGAACAGCAAAGCCATGATAAGTCATATTTATAAGGAAGCATCCTCAGGTAGTATAGATTCAAATTTGTTCAAATCATGACCCCTGGGGATAGGGCGGGGTCGCAATGGAGGATCAAAGTTTTACATAGAAATATATAGGAAAAATCTTTAAAAATCTTCTTCTCAAGAACAGCAAAGCCATGATGAGTCATATTTATATGGAAGCATCCTCAGGTAGTGTAGATTCAGATTTGTTCAAACCATGACCCCCGGGGGTAGGGTGGGGTCACAATGGAGGATCAAAATTTTACATAGAAATATAAAGGAAAATTTCTTCTTCTGAAGAACTGCAAACCATGATTAGTCATTTTGATATGGAAGCATCCTCAGGTAGTGTAGATTCAATTTTGTTCAAATGATGACCCCCAGGGGTAGGGTGGGGCCCAATGGGGGATGGAAAGTTTTACATAAGAACATATAGAAAAAATATTTCTTCTCAAGAACAGAAAAGCTATGTTTAGTCATATTGATATGGAAGCATCCTCAGGTAGTGTAGATTCAAGTTTGTTCAAACCATGACCCCCGGGGGTAGGGCGGGGCCACAATGGAGGATCAAATTTTTACAAAGGAATATATGGGAATTTTTTTTTTAAATCCTCTCAAGTACAACAAAGCCATTTGTTATATTGTCATGGAAGCATCATCAGGTAGTTTAAAATTCAAGCTTCCCCCCCCCCCCCCCCCCCCCCCCCCCCCGGTCTTTTCAATACTGAACTGTGTGCTTTTGCCTAGCCAATGTGCTCAGGTGAGCGATGTGGCCCATGGGCCTCTTGTTTAATGTCCCCTCCTATTTCAATTCTTACGGACAACCCTGCTTTCATATCCATCATTGTTATACATAACAACCTCATGTCATATAAATGTGTTGTGGAAAGCTCATCTTGAAACTTGTTAATCTTTATAATAATTTAAGTTGACATTATAAAGTCAAAAACTTGCCATTAGTTTTAAGTATTAAGGAGAATTCACATTCGCCAATATTTCCCCTAATTTTTTATATTTTTTTTCTAGTTTATGACTTCTGTATGCTTTTTAGTTAATAAAATATGAGAATGAAAGTTGTAGTAATTTAGACAGACATCAAGAATTCTGTATTCAGTTTCAGCATAATGTATGTGAAGTGTAGTATATCTATATAACATGTGTAACTGATCGATCATTGAAACAAATTAAGAGTTACTATTAATAGTACTATAATTAAGCAGAGATTTATATCTAAAGTCTTGTAAAAGAAAATAGTTTTCTTCTTTCCAAATTAAGTCATTATGTAAACATTTCTCTGTACATTATAGACAATGTACAATTCTTAATGAATATGCCGATTGTTATTTATACTATTATCATATTTGCTTCCATCGTGCATGTCTGTTTGCAAGTTTCAATTTACGTTGTATTTTGTATTTTTATGAATGCAAAGAATTTGATTCTGATATTATTTATTAGTTTTGTTTTCTAATTATATGACGTATACATTTGTTACATTGTGTTTAGGGGCAAGTTACATTGTTTCTTACATATTTTATTTATTTTCTGTTAATTTTCAGCTACATATAGCATAATCAAAAATCCTTGAGCCTTTATGTAAACTATGTACTTGTACTGATTTCTGGTACGTGATTACCTTTCATTTCTTCATATTATTTCATTGAAAAGGATTACTAGTAGATAAATTGCATTTTTAATATAATTTTAATGCCGGTGATTTATTTCGTTAATTTATGATTAATATTTATAAAAATAGGACATTTATGAAGTGTGTTCAATTCATTGCAGAGGTACATTTTCCTTTTTTTTTATGAATAATAAGTCATTTTTAATTTTTGAAAACCATTTCTTTAAACACAAAACCATTCTTTTTTTTTCTTGTTTTGCTCTGAACCTATTTAAACTATAGGGGATAATTTGTTCATTAGGTGCAATTCTTATATGTATACATTCTGTCTTAACTTTAATTTGTATTTATTCTAAATGGGAAAAGAAAACATGTGTGATTTATATTTCTAATATATTTTTAAAGAAATAAATAATAAGAAATACTGCAAATATATCTACATTGTCTTTGAAAAATTATTTCGTTGCCTTGTCCAGGAGTGGAGGAAACAAATCATTAGGTATTCTTTACTTCCTTATGAGAAAAAAAAATGATGAAAATATTTGCAAACATATAAGGATTGTCTTATATGTTGCTGTTTTTTTTTTTTTGTTCAGGAAGAAAACAACAAAATCTTGTGTCATTTTTACTTCCTAAAAATGAATTCACTCTGTTTCTGTAAACCAGAGGCATGCTTAACAAAGTGAGCACTTGCAAATGCTTGCCAAAATTCCCAATTCCTCTTTCAGAAATGTTCGTGAGTGCTTGGAAACACCTGCTCTGTTGAACAGCCCTCAATACTGTACATAAAAAATAATGATAGGAAATAAAATGTGTATAAACTGCATTTATATCACAAGTTAAAAACACCTGTCTCCCCTTTCTATCGGGGTGTAACCCAAAGCCTCATTTGGGTGGAATTTCAGAGACACAGGTGTAATTAAGATCTTCCATCTTCACAGAAGACCTTATAATAGTGATTCTTATTATTACCAGCATTATTTGTAGGCAAAATTTTGTGCACGCGATTTCTGAAAGACTATTGAGTAGTTTTCAGTGAAACCCCCAGGGTTTATGAGCAATGATATAATCTTTTGGCATGACCAAGAGAATTTGGTAAATTTCATTCTGATTCCAAGTTATGGACAATTTCCTGATTTTAAAATGAAATTTTGACCACATGTTTTCTCAATAATGGCTAAAGGTAGGAACTGGAAACATGCCAAAGATAAAAGACCATGAGTTGTAGATGTTTGGAAGGGTCTTTTAATGAGTTGTCAGTACTTCCGGTCGCTACCGGAAGCAAATATATGAAAAGGCAATTTTTTCAACTTTTCCATTTTCAATATTTTTCTTTAATATTAAGAGGGTTAATTAATACTCTTTTCGAAATACTTATTATATAATTTGTTTTAAAATCGATAAATCTATACTCTAGATTTTCGTCTTTTTTCACAAGCTATGATCCCGCCAGCATAATGATTAGCGTAATTTTTCGCAAACGTCTGAGAAAACATTGGATTGAAATTCTTGTAAGAATCTTATGTTTTCTCAGACGTCCGCATTGAATTTATCGCGGATGTCTGAGAAAACATCTGAATCAAACGTTTTCTCAGATGTCCGCATCGAATTTGTCGCGGACGTCTGAGAAAGCAATACATTGAATCAAATGTTTTCTAAGACGTCCGCGTCGAATATATCGCGGACGGCTGAGAAAACATTTATATTCAATCGAATGTTTTCTAAAACGTCCGCATTGAATTTATCGCGGACGTCTGAGAAACGTTAAACTGAATCGAATGTTTTGGCAGACGTCCGCATAAAATTTATCGCGGAGGTCTTAGAAAACATTAAATTAAATCGAATGTTTTCTCAGACGTCCGCGTCATTTTTTTTTTTTTTTTGTGGACGTTTGAGAAAATAAATGGAATATGGAGATTACGAACACTATTCAAGCTCAATACAAATCGGAGTGCCATGGTGCCATGGAGGAGTAGGCATCCCCTGTCGACTGGTTACACCCGCCGCGTGTTCCTTGTCATGATTGGATAGGAAAACTTTCAGTGTGTAAATAATGGCCTAACAATTAGTATGAAAACGTCAGTCAGCATTTGACCTAATGATAGATTGTATTTGCTGATAAGGTCATTGTATCGACCATAGAACTTGCGAAATGATGACTTCAAACGAGACTGTTGATATCCTTGTGTCATCAACTTGTTGGTTAATAGCTTGCCTCGTTTTGAAAATTGATCGTACGTAAAGCATGCTATTGCGTATCGAATGAACTGGGAGACATAAAGCCCGTATGCATAAATATAAAATCTAATTCTAAATAGAAATAAAATCCAATCTTTTTTTCTGATATCCGCATCAAACTTTCCACCAATTTCGTGGATATGAAGTATGCAGCATGATTCCAATCTTTCCAGTTTATGTTCCGCAGCTTATTTTTTTCCGGTTTAATTCTGCGAATTTTTCACGATTTGTATAAAGACTTAACTAGTAGTTTTTTTTTTTTTTATCGCAATAACTAGCACCAAACGTAATGGTAAGCGTATAGAATGTCACGGGTGCGACCCGGGTTCAATTTCCAGAATATCTATTTTTTGTATTCTTTTTTTTTTTTCAACTTTGATATAAGATTTTATCTTTGCAATAAAGTCTTTATTTTTCCGTTCGAATTACGCCACACTTCAGGCCCGTAGGAACCAATTTCAGTTGGAAAGGGGAGGGGGGTACAACCATATATTTTCAGTTGGGGGGCACTATCAACTACCAACAATTCTTTGACAAGCAAAAAAAAAAAAAAAAAAAAAAAAAAAAAAAAAAAAAAAAAAAAAAAACCATTATTGAGGGGGCACAAGCATATAGTGACTATGTTAACTATAGTATTCTATATATCGGCAAAGTTATTAGGCCCCCCGGTTAATTCCTACGACCATGCACTTTCACAATATTTACGTACATGCTATAAAATTTCATTTAGTTCAAGAGAATGCACA